AAACTTGCAATTGAAGGCATTTCAAAGCGGCCTCTTCCACACCATCGTACGATGCCATTGATGCATGATGTAAGTGTAAGAGGAGGGGGAAGAGGAGTGGAGGTGCAAGCTTACCCAAAGACTTGCTCCAAGATGGGGCCAACTGAATGGCAAGCCAATGCCTGTATGAGTGACAGTCTTAATTACAGAGAGATTAGCATGGTGGACTGGGAATGGCATGGCAACTGCAACTGCGAGTGGGACTGGAAGTGGGACTGAGAGTAAGACTTCTGAGGAACGAGAAGGCAGACAATGTTGCATGTATTCAATGTCACGTTCCAGTGGAGATCCCACGACTTTGGTGATGAAAGTGCTTGAGCCAGGTGAGTGCTATGGCAAATGACAGGCGGCTCGGCTCTCCAGATGCTGCTCCTGCTGCTGCTCCTCCTCCTCCTCCTCCGCCTGCTGCTGCTGCTTCTTCTGTGCCTGCTGTTCCTCTTCCTGTTCCGCTTCAACTTGATTTCTTTTCTTCTTGTTTTCTTCCTTCTTTTTGTTGTTCCGCTCCCTTGTTACATTTGATTGTCGCAAACGAAGTGGAAACGCAAATGTTGCACAAACACACACACGCATGCCGTGGCAGCAAGGCGGGGGCGTAGGTGGAGGTTGGGTGCAGAAGCAGAAGCAGGAGCAGGAGAGTAACGGAAATGCACACTAATTACTCCTTGGAAGTGGGAATGATGGATACAAAGGAACAGAACAGAACAGAACGGAGCAGAACAGAAGGAGCAGAAACCCTTCTTGCTTTTACGCTCCTCTCCCCTGACCAATGCACAATTTGTTCTACCCTCACAGATTGGCCCAGCTATGATTGTTATTGAGTAAGCTAATCGCTGAGTAGCAATGAACTTTCCTGAATAGAGCCAAAATATATATTGCTGAATAAAAAAAAAATAAAAATAATAAAAAAATAAAAAAAAATAAAATTAAAATAAATCCCTCTTAAATAATTAAATCTGTGGCAAAATCCAATTATAATATATATAATCCAGGGAGATTTATTTAACGGGCAGATCCTTGTTGAGGGTACATAAAACTTCGGTGCTGCCTCCTTGCTTGTGGCTGCTTCGCTTTGCTTCTGCTTCTGCTTTGGCTGCAGGCTTTTTTTTCATTCTTTCTGGCATTCATTCAAAAGCGCCTCCCTCATTCGCCCCACACCCGCCACCACCCCACCCCCCGTATGATAATTGAAATGGTGAGCTGAGCCGCCAATGGGGTTATGGAGCGTTGCAGGGAATGGGCATACAGCCGGGAGCCGGGGGCCGGAGGCTGGGGTCCCGCGTCGGGGTGTGGTGTAGCCAAGTCAAACACAATAACCCTGCACCAGAGAAAAACCGAAAAAAAGAGAAATTTAATAACTCGGCACGCTGCGCAATGATAACACAAAAGGGCCAATTCAAATTTCGATTTCGAATTCAAATTCAAATTTGCATTTCCAAGGGAGTAACGGCCAGGCTGGATAGCGCCCGAAGCGACGGTTGTAGATTTCGTTTAAGGATCACTGCCCGAAGAAGCAGACGGCATCATTTTTGTGAGTGTAACATCAATATGAAAGGCTTCAAAGCCCCACAGCACATACTGCACGGCATATGTGGCAGGATGTGGCAGAATGTGGCATAATCAGCTGTGCGCGTAGTGTCCACAAGGAAAACTCAAGACATCGGTCTGATCGATCCTCAAGACCTTCAATGAATTTTGGCCTGCTTTCATTCACCATTTCTGGGTGCAACGTGCTCCATTCTGCAACAGTCACGTCCAAGAGCCAGTCGAGAGAATACTCTTTTTAGCCCCTGGAAGCTGGAGGAGAGTTTCACAGTGACCCATAGGCCCGCAGTAAGCTTTGGCCATCGATCAATCTTGCACCTGGAAGCGTCCCCATTTAAGGCCAAATGCCAAATCAATTATAATAATAATTATTGGTTGTTGGTAGCCGATGCCAATTTACATATTAGCAGTTGGAACAAGTCGAGTTGGAGCCGTGCAGCTAAATAAGAAGACAATGAATCGACAGTGGATGTTGTGTGTTTGTGGGTGTTTTGAGACAAACAGACAGCCTGGCAGCAAGAGAGAATTTTGATTATTTGCTGATATCTGTGCTCAGGGAAATCAATTAGTGCGCCCGAACGCCTCTCAGTTTTTGCGGAACGAACGCAAAAGCAAAGAAGATTTCCTTAATTAACGTTAACATCGCCAGGGCCGAGAACTGCAGCATTAGAGTTGGTCATGACAATGGAGTGTGCTACGAGTAGTATCCAAAGAATTAACGAAGAACTCTGCCCGTTGATGATTGGCAGATAATAGTGGATAGCAGCAGCAATTTTGTTTATTTTTGTTTTACTCACAAGTTTAACAGGATAACCTGCAACGGTTGCAGAGGCATGTTAATTTAGCAGTGAGCTAACAGCGATGGATGACAACGCGTGTGAGAAGAGAGAGGCTTTCGCATTCCGTTATTCACTGCATGATGTGAGAGCGAAACACGAGGAGAAACAAATGCCGATATCTAAGTCCGAACTTTGGATTAGCCTACGCTGCTAATGTTTTACACTTTAGAAGCTGTGGTTCCCTTGGCAGAGTTAAATTGTTAATTTGGATGGAATTTATTGTCATTCTTGCTTTGGAGCCGCACAGCGCCATAACCTGCAGAGCTTACATCACAGGCGACAGTCATTAGTGACTATCATTGATGCTCCCAGTGCATAGGTGCATTTATTGTTCTAATCGTTAAGCCAGAGAGATTAGATATTGGAAGTTGCTCGATGGAAAAAGCCAAACAAAGACATATACATATGTACTTATGAATTTATTAATCCGATTAAAAACAAAGCGTAGTATGTACTAAACAAGTATATGTGTATGCATGTATGTACATGTCTGGTAATATTATCTGACTAGTGCTCTGTGGAAAGAATTGCAATATTTTTTCTCTGTTGCGGGGGCATAACAGCGCCAAGACTAACATACATACATTTACAGTATAAATTTCATACATATGTACATATATGTATGTGGCCTGTGTTACCCAGATCGCCAATTGAATGCTAGCAGAAGATTATCGCTGATTGATTGGGTTACCCTCGTTTCGTGTTTCTATTCAGGTTCAGTCAGCAGTCCCCAGTCCGCAGTCAGTTCGAGGCGGTCAGAGACTGCACATTGCTTCGACTATCAAACTAAGCAAGATGCCCATTTGGTTGCTGCTGCTGCTGGGCCTGGGACTGCTGCTGCTCCTTCAGAAGTGGCGGTTGCTGCGCCTGGGCAGCAGCCTGCCCGGTCCCTGGGCTTTTCCGCTGCTGGGCAACGCCCAAATGGTGGGCAAGCTGCGGCCCGAATGTGAGTACAAGCAGCAGCCGAGATCTGAGATCTCTGTCCCTATTCCCAATCTGCAGTCATATTTCTGGTCTTTACAGAGCTACGCGACCGCTTTGGCGCCACCTACCGGCTGTGGCTGGGGCCTCAGCTGTGGGTGTTCCTGCACACAGCAGAGGAGACGCGCGAGGCGCTGCACGATGCCACACTGCGCAAGGCGGAGACCTTCCTGCAGCTGGAGCCGCTCATCGGTAACGGGCTGCTAATTAGCCATGGCGCCCACTGGACGCAGCAGCGTCGCCTCCTCACTCCCGCCTTTCGGCCGATCCTCTTGCGGAGCTTTTCCCCCAGTGTGGCCAAGCATGCGGATCGTCTGATTCAGCGGCTCGTCGCGACCCGCGGCACCTTCCTCGAGCTAACGGATCCACTTTTTGCCTGTCTGCTGGACGCCATCGTGGGTAAGTGTGTCTTCTGTGCCCCGCATCGTACCCCGTGGGAGAGCTGCTCACTTCTCATTCTTCGATAGACACCTCCATGGGCGGGCAGCTGGATACGCAGTCTGTGGCGCACTCTCCCTTCGTCGGTGCCTTCCACCGCAGCAGCCAGCTGCTGTTCAAGCGCATGATCAATCCCCTGCTGGCCTCCGACTGGGTCTTCCAGCGAACCCAACTGTGGCGCGAGCTGAGCGAGCAGCTCCAGGTTATCCACACGCTAATGGATTCATTGATTGAGCGCCGCTCCGCACAGCTCGAGCAACAGGCGGATGTAGCCCCCCGCAAGGCGCTCAACCTGCTGGACACGCTCCTTCTGGCCAAGATCGACGGCGAACCGTTGAGTCGAAAGCAGATACGCGACGAGGTCAACACTTTTGTGTTTGCGGTAGGTGGGTGGGGAGGGAGAGAGGCAGCAAGCATCTGATAATCCTGTTCTACCTGCAGGGCGTGGACACAACAACGGCGGCCATGTCTTTTGTCCTGTACGCACTGGCCAAGAATCCCGAGGCACAGGACAGGTTGCTGGAGGAGTTGCGGCAGCTGCCGCCCCATGGCTCCACGGATCTGGATGCGCTCAATGAGCTGCCCTATTTGGATGCCCTGCTCAAGGAGGTGCTGCGCCTGTACACGATCGTGCCCACCACCGGACGCCAGACCACCTGCTCCACCGTCATCGGGGGCCGTACGTACTGCGCCGGTGTCACGCTCTGGATAAACATGTACGGCCTGGCCCACGATGCCAGCTACTATCCCGATCCGTATGTCTTCAGGCCGGAGCGCTGGATGCAGGAGACGACAACTCTGCAGCAGGATGTGGCCTCCTCCTCCTTCAGCTACATACCGTTCTCGGGCGGTCCCCACGTCTGTATTGGGCGCCGATATGCGCTGCTTCTGATGAAACAGCTGACGGCTCACATAGCGACTGCCTTTCGGCTGGAACTGCGCCCGGGCGAACCAGAGCTGACGCTGCAGGCCCAGATGGTGCTCAAGGCGCGTGAGGGCATCCACTTGGCATTTAAAAAACGCTAACCAAGTCAGCCCTGGACGAGCGTCCGTCATGTTTGACATGTTGTAACATTTTCCAGTTGAATTTTGTACGCAATACACATATCCGATACGTTGTTTGTTTTGTTTGTTTAGTTTTGTCCACACACGCGCCGCGCGTTTGTACCACTCCTCCGGACGAGCATCGCCATCGACATGCTCCACCAGCAGTGTCGGAACGGGCGCAACTTCCTTCACGAGAACCGACTGGTGATGCGCTACCCACTGGCCGTTCCAGTGGCTCAGCCGTCGGTAAGGCACAACTACGAGATGCCCACGGCGGCCTCGCTGGCCAGGCGCTCGACGCCCACCCACAACAGCGCTCTGGGCGAGCGGTCTAGGCGCACGGCACTTCCTCGCACATCCACAGCCAGCGCCACCGCCAACGCCTCGTCGGAGAAGCAAATCCAGACGGACGACATATGCGACGAGCTGTTTCTCAGCGCGGCCCTGCTCAAGTGTACCGAGCACGGGCAGTCGCGGGCCACGCAAAGTGAGGGCGACGAGTGCAGCCCCCCTCTAGCTGTGGGCCTGAAGCACAGCGCCGGCGGGTGTCTGCGACGCGCCACATCCAACTTTGAATTGGGCAGAGTGGCCGAGCAACGCGCTGGCTACCAGTCTGGTGGTCAGCACACACTGCACCGGCTGTTAGGCGGCGCTGCCAGCACTCTGCCCGCATCCGAACTGGACCCGATGGACGACAGCTGGACATCAGATCAGCCGCGCCTGACGCCCCGCAACGAAAATGCTGTGGATGGATCATCCTTGAGCTCAAGTCGCTCCTCGCTGGCGAGATCGCCACCTGCACCTGTACGCCAGGTGGCCATACCGGAAATCACAGACGTGAACCAGGAGGACACCCTCAGCGCACGCTCCCAGGCCTCCAGGTGCAGTGAGCCTTCCTCTGGCCCTGGTGCTCCGTCACAGGCTGAGCGCGAGTCGAATACGAATTTGGAGACGGAAGAAGAGCAGCAGCAGCCGCCGCCGGAGCAGGAGTTGGAGCATCGAATCCTGCTGTCAGAGGCCCAGCGGATAGAGCTGATCAAAAAGACACGTGTCCTGCGAAGCCTGCTGATCGCCGAGTGGAATCGCTTGCCCCTCTCCATGGTTTACGCTTCGTGTGCGCAACCTGAAGCATCAACTGGAGCAAAAGCTCGACATGGTGGACAAAGATCTGAGCGTGCTCTCCCAGCAGAGGGTGTACGCCAAGCAGGCCAGCTCGGACTCATATCATAGGTTCTTCTATTCAACGAAATCTGAAACAAATTATGATGAACATAAATAAATATGCAATTTATAACAATGAGTCCTGGATAAACGATTGCAACTTCTTGATGCCGGCAAGGCGGTCGAGCAGGGAGCTATCTGCAGTGGAGCACAGGCGATGATCATGGCGAAGTGTGTAATTCTCGTTTAAACACTTAAAATTATTGTAAAACCTTTACAGCCGTTAGGTGTGGGTGTAGGGGGGTTGGAGGTACTTAGTAGTACTATCATGATAGTATCGAGCTACAGTCGTTGCGCTTTTGATATGTTTGGATTGGCTGCTATAAAATACGAAGACATATTTGTAAACAAATCGACAGGTGGCATCTAATTTTAACAATCTAAAAGGTTTCAATGGTTTTTTAATAATTATTTGAGCCCGATACTATAACGATAGTATAGATTGTTTTTTTCAAAACATTCAAAACTATCGATGGCTCAACTATCAATCGTTTGACAGCTCTAGTACTTAGTACCGATAATTGAGCGTTTTCAATATATATTACTTTCGATATTAACATGACCGGTGGTATATCGGTATATTTCATAAATTGTTTGGTATATTATGGTATATTTATGGGTTTAGAATTTTATCGATAGGTCACACCTATTTATTTTAAAGTATATTCCAGTATTTTTCAAGCCGTGTCATGAGGTTTTTACATCTTCTATTTTACGCTAAATTTACATATTGGTTTCCGTGATCTTTTTGCCGTTTCCATGTTGAATCTAGCTCCGATTGCGTTTTGGTAATGAGTTTTCTACACAAACAAAACGCAACCACGGTCGAACCCAACGGCCTTTCCCACTGGATGTTAATGTTACCCAATTTAAGAAGATATTTTTTGTTCTTTGCGGCTTAACATGACACTGACACATACAGTAATATGGAAATAAACATTTCCGCTAGTAATGGATTTAAGGTGGACTGCTCCCCACTAAAATTGGATGAATGCAACTCCATTAAATTTTAGTTAAAACGCACAACAACAAAAAAACACTATTCAAAAAAAAACTGTCACATTTCCTCGTCAGGGTCTCTGTCGGTAATTACATAAATATGTAGCTAGTATGTAGCAAATGTGTAGTTAGTATGTACAAAATTAATTGAGATTGGTGTTTAATCGAACCTTTTTAATTAAACCATTTTTGATAAATAATCAAATAGAAATGAGTACTTAAAATTGGAAAATCTGTTAGGAAATTGATTAATTTATCGTAGAAAAGTATGTGGTCAGCGCTGAGGCTGCTAGCTAGCTGGTAATCCCAAGCCGAATATAAAAATCGAGGAATCCCATCATCACACAATCTCGCTGACTGCTGCTGGGGCCTGACTTGCCCTGCATTTGGGTTTGCATTTTTATTGTTTCCGCGCACGTGCAATATAATATAAATAAATGAAACGCAATTGAATACGGGAAACCAAGGCCTGCAGGCTCAACTGCAGACGGCGCAAATGGATCAATTCTCGCACGACTTGACGCTGGCCCTGGAGGAGACCTCGCTGATGGACAGGGCGTGCGGCGTTGGTAGGTGGGGTTCACGTCGCAGAACCCGATCGACGGGTAATTTGCGTAAGTAGTGCACACGCATGGTGCTCCACTCCAGTTGAAGCCACACCCCTTTGTATTTCTGCTCCTACCCGCAGCTTGTGCGCCACAGCCCACCGAGGACTCGTCGAGCAGCCCCACGGATGCTCATGCTCATGGACATGGACATGGCCACGGGCATGGGCACGGTCACGGCCATGCCCAACATCATCACCACCACCACCAACACCCAAGTGCCAACGTAGACGGACTGGACCTGAAGCTGGCGGCAAGCGACTCGGATGACAAGGCGGGGGCCATGCTACCGCTCCGCCTGCCGCTGCCAGGGAAGACGCTGAACGCCGCGGCCGCCGTCCGCATGGGGGCGGGTGCGCTTGAGTCGGACTCACTCAACGAGACGAACTTCAGTCCAGCCCGGTAAGCCCCATCCGAGGAGGAGGTACTGCTAAGAGTAACAAGCTAATCTAACAACTTCCCTCCCTCCCTTGCTAGTTTCTACAAGCCCAACTCGCGCCGCAAACGCAAGATAAAGCGCATGTCGATGGAGTTTGAGTTCAGCAAGGACTCGCATCCGGCCGCCTCGCCGCACAGCTGCACAGAGTCGCCACTGCAGCCGGGCATGTTGGGCGGCGCATGCAGCGGCTTGGCACTGGCCTCGACGGGCACCGTTCGCAAGCGCCTGCTGAAGGCAGATGCCGGCAATCGATCGAATTTCTTTTTCTGCGGCAAGCGCAAGCGCTCCAATCGCGACCGCTACCACGAACAGGAGCCGGGCACCGGTTCCGGCATCGCTTGCAGCAGCAAGCTGCACTCCTCCAGCATGCCGCGCTACACCCACATGGAGGAGTACCAGCGGATGCGACCGCGCAGCTACTCGTCCACCTCTAAGCCGCACAGCGACCGCCTGTTGCCCCTCAACAAGGGACTGCTCTCGAAGATCAACCGCATGGCGCAACAAACACAAAAGACTGACAATGCTGACGCTGACGCCGACGTCGTCGCCACGAAGGCCGGCCAGGAGCTACAGCTGAAGGAACTGTCCCACAACAAGGCGGCTCCCCCAGCACCTGTAGATCCAGCTGCCGCCGTACTCACTGTCACCGATATCCTGGGCAGCTTCAGCATGGACACCATAGTGCCCGTCACCGACATCGAGACTTTACTGAGCACACCTGGCAAGGTGCCGCAGGTGCCACGCCAGCAAAAAAGTCACAGCCACAGCCAGAGCCAGAGCAACAGCGCCTCGAAGGCCCACCGACGCCGCCGCTTCTGCCAGACGCCGCAACCGCTGCAAGTGCAGTCGATGGACATCAGCGAGCTGTACGACTTCCTCAGCTCGAGCTCACTGAGCTCCTCGTCGGACAGCGAGGATGGGGGCGGGCATCGGCGTCACGACACGGGCCGCGAGGGCGACGACGAGCTCACCGACTGGCCGGGCAACGAGTTCGGCCCTGGGGGCAAGTATGATCCCAAGCGAAAGCTCACCAAGAAGTCGCTGCTATCGCAAATACGCTCGGACGATACGATCGGCGAGGATGACACCCTCATGTCGGGCACGGAGACTACTGTGGCCACAGAGAGTGCGCCGCAGAGTCAGACGCCCTGGCTGACGGACGCACTGCAGGATCTGTCCCGCTTTCAGCCCGCCCCAGCATCGGAGCCCATTGAGATTCAGGGGGGAGCCAGTGGCTATCGGAATGCCGCGGGCTTCATCGATGTCAATCACTGCCTCGATATGGACATCAATGTGGACGCTGTGCCGGCGCTCAAGCAAATCGAGAGCGAGATGTCCGGCGAGACGTCGAACCCATTCCTCTCCTCCTCGCCGCCCGGTCAGGTGCAGGAGGTACGCGAAATACGCGCCGGCTGCCGTCGCATCAATGGGGACCGGCCCGGCTTCACCATCAAGCTAAGTGTGAACGAGCGGCTAGCACGCTTTCTGCAGGATCCGCGCCAGACCCAGATCCGGCTGCCAGACATGGAGATCAGCGAGGCGGACAGCCTCTACAATCTGGCCAATCTTTACTCGCTCACAATGGTGGTGGAGCACGGCTGCACAGTGCTCACGAAGACAGGGTGAGTCGCGTCATTTCTGGCATTCCTGCGCTGCTTAGTTTTTGTATGCCGCTAATTTCTTGCATTTCCTATCCAGGAATACGACACAAACGGTCAGCGTGGATCATGCACAACAGCGTGGCCTGCCGCAGCATCCGGATCTCTTTGGCGACTTTAAACGGCGCTGTTATGGCGGCGACGGCGAGGCAGATGAAACTGCTGGCCCCCCAGTTGTCACAGAGTTGGACAACAAATGACAAATCAGAGCCTAAATCCCGGACCCACGGAACCACGGACCCACCCACACTAGCGGCAGCAGAATTGGATACTCGCTACGTAGTAAAACTCTGAGGCCCGATTTCCAGGTGCTGCCCACGCTTGTGCCCCAACAGCGAGAAAGAGTGAGACAGAGCGAGAATGAGAAATGGATTCGATCTGACGACGATACAACGAGTAATACGACGAGTAATATTAAAGCTTTTAAGTGTGTTGTGTGCTTGTAAAGTCCCATGTACATTATGTATGTATATCGTGTGTGTGTGTGTGTGTGTGTGTGGTGTGTGTGTGTATATATATACTACAATATAATAATTGTAAAACTTGTTAGGGAACGGGAGGCAAACAACTAGATCCACCTGCCAACTACCACCAACCATAGCCTGATATCGAGCGAGATGGCATGGATCTTTTTGGCCTGTTCCACTGTACAAAATACTAAATACATACGTATGTATGTATGTATGCCTGTTCCAAAAGACATTGAAGGCGAATATTTAATATACTTATTTACATATGTGCGGACACAATTGGTGCTTCAATTGCTTGGCTAATGGCATCCTATTTACATCCCCATGGCAGTGGGGAATTGAATTGGAATTGGGGCTTGCAACGAACCCAAATACTCCCAGATATAGCGAGACAGTTCGGGCATAGCTGGCTCCCACAGCCAGATGAATCCCATCGAAAAGGTGCTCCTGATATGAACTGCAGTTGCAAATGCTATCCATAATGGTGCACAGCAGGTTGCCCTCAGTTCAAAGAGCATGCCAGCAATTTCTAGTCTCTCCTGGGCAACCTAAAGCGCCTCCTTATGATGCCAAATCTGCTTTGTTTCGTTGCAAGTTCCATTGAGAAAGGTTCCCGAACCGCATTCAAATGCGGTTGCTGTTGCCCGCTTTGACCTGCGTCGAGGACAGCGCATGCTCATTGGGGGCCACCCAGCTGGGACAGGGTTGCCAGGCAGGCGCTGTCGGTGAGGCCAGGCCAGGCCAGGGCCTCTTTGTCCCCAGCAGCTATTTCGTCCGTTCTGAATGGTGGCGGCCGGCAACCCTCCCGAGTGTACACTGTACAAGAGAATGGCAACCCTTGGCGCTGCTGCGGTGCGCTGCGCTGCTGGGGGTCGGGTCGCCGCGGGGTCGTCCTCGGCAGAAGCGCATTGAGCTTTTGACGGTGTCGGACGCAGTTGGACGCAGCTCAACGGGCCAGATTGGCACCAAATATTTTTTAATGTGTGTTTGAGCTCCAGCACCGCCGCCGTGGCCGCCCCACGCCTCCCCCCCCGCACGCAAGTGTCAATAACTCTCACGCCGTGTGCCGTGTGCCGTGTGCCGTGTGCCGAGTGAATGATGTGTGAAATCAGGTGCAGGAGTCGCTAATCAACGCTTCGAATTGGCCACAGAATCAGAGCCAGCTACCACGGGATCATCCTTCGGTGTTCGGTCTTTTTAGTGTGTTGCCAGTTTAGCTGGCGACTGCAGCGGATTGTTTTGTCCTGAGCAGCCAATCCAATCGAAATACTAACGGTAATTGCCATCTAGAGGAGGCATCTGCTCCAGTCTGCAGCTTCCACTTTAGGCTCCAGCTGCATCTCCGGCTTCAACTCTCTCGTCCTCCTCCACGTGAGACGGCGGACAGAGAAGACTTTTACGACGCGGCCCGCTGCTGCTTATTGATTTTTCCACACACACAGAAGAGAGACGGCGAGAGAGGGAGAGGGAGAGTGAGCGCGTGAGTGTGAGAGCAGCAGAGTGTGGGAGAGAGCGTCAACACACACTCGCTAGCTGGGCAAGGGGAAGGGGAAGCCAAAGCATACACACGCACACACACACACGCATGTACATGTGCTAATCTGTTATCAGAACTATTTTGCATTCTCTCTCGCTCTCTCTCTGTCGCTCCATCTTGCAGCCGAGCTGCGGGGACCATGAGGAGGGAGACGGCGCAGGCGGCGTGGGCAGCAGCAGCAGCAGCAGCAACAGCAACAGCAGACGGCTGCGACTGCAGTAGAGCCGCTCCTGCATGCATTGCGAGCATGTGCATCATCTGTAGCGGCATCTCCATCTGAGCACCTGAGTCGGAGTCGGCACCGAAGCGTCTGAGTGGCTTCAGCAGCAGTAGCAGCAGCAGCAGCAGGGTGGCGCGCAGTTGGGAAAATGAGTGCCAGCGAGGCGGCAGCCGGCGAGGATGTAGTTCATGGCAGTCAAAGTCGCAGTCGCAGCCGCAGCGAGCTGGACACGGATACGGCAAAGGCGGAGGCAGCGACGGCGGCCCATACAGATCAGCAGGAGGAGCACCCGCAACAGCAGTCGTCCAATGGTGAGCAATCGCTGTCCCACAACAGCATCCAGCCGGAGGAGCAGCCGCCGCCGAACGAGTCGCAGTCACAGTGCAAGACGGAGGCGTCACTGCTGGAGGGCAGGGATGGCGGCATGGCCGCCCCCTCCATTGATGCGCTGGTGGCCTGCAAGGATGTGCTGCTCGCCCAGAAGCTATTCGCGTGTGGCGGCAGCAATGTGCCCGGACCCGCGCCCGGCTCCAGTGCGGGTGCCAGTCCCAATACCAAGGAGCTGCTCAAGCTGAAGGAGCCGATGCGCGTGGGCTTCTATGACATCGAACGGACCATCGGCAAGGGTAACTTTGCGGTGGTGAAGCTGGCGCGGCACAGGATCACCAAGAACGAGGTGGCCATCAAGATCATCGATAAGTCGCAGCTGGACCAAATCAATCTGCAGAAGGTCTACCGCGAGGTGGAGATTATGAAGCGTCTGAAGCATCCGCATATCATCAAGCTGTACCAGGTGGGTCGCTCGCAGCTCCCACAGTCCCCCCAGTGCACAGTCCAAGCTAATTGGAGGCCTTGCTCTCTCGCCCCGTTCCCGTTCCCTTTCCCATTGCAGGTGATGGAGACAAAGAACATGATCTACATTGTGTCGGAGTACGCCAGTCAGGGCGAGATCTTTGGTGCGTATCTTGCTTCCTTCCACTTGGAGTTGGAATTGGAACAATTGTGATGCCTCTTTTGCAGATTACATTGCCAAATATGGCCGAATGTCCGAGTCGGCGGCACGCTTCAAGTTCTGGCAGATCATCTCTGCGGTGGAGTACTGCCACAAGAAGGGCATCGTCCATCGCGACTTGAAGGCCGAGAATTTGCTGCTCGACTGCAGCATGAGCATCAAGATCGCCGACTTTGGCTTCTCCAATCACTTCAAGCCCGGCGAGCTGTTGGCCACCTGGTGCGGCTCGCCGCCGTATGCCGCACCCGAGGTGTTCGAGGGCAAGCAGTACACGGGACCCGAGATCGATATTTGGGTGAGTCCCTCCCTCTCTCTCTCTCTCTCTCTCTCTCTCTCTGTCTTCTGTAACTGTTGCCGATCCTCTTGCAGAGCTTGGGCGTTGTCCTGTATGTGCTCGTCTGTGGAGCTCTTCCTTTTGATGGCTCCACGCTGCAGAGCCTGCGGGACCGTGTGCTGTCCGGCCGCTTTCGCATTCCGTTCTTCATGAGCTCCGAATGCGAGCATCTGATCCGTCGCATGCTGGTGCTGGAGCCGACGCGCCGCTACACAATCGAGCAGATCAAACACCATCGCTGGATGTGCCCCGAGCTGCTCGAGCACGCCCTGATTGCCAAGTACAACCTGAATGTGGACAGGCAGACGGTGCTGGAGCCCAGCGAGGACATACTCCGCATCATGGCCGAGTATGTGGGCATTGGGCCGGACAAGACGCGCGCCAGCCTCAAGAAGAACACCTACGATCATGTGGCTGCCATTTATCTGCTGCTCCAGGATCGTGTCAGCCACAAGAAGGAGCAGGCCCGCCCCGCCGATGGCTCAGCGGTGCCTGTGCCCATGCCCGTGCCCGTGCCCCCCCTAGCACCGGGCTGTGGCTCTGTCTCCAGCGGTGGCAGCAGCAGCAGCTCCAGTCGCATGCTCTACAAGAGCAGCAAGCAGTCGCTTAGCCTGGAGCAGCAGCAGCAGCAACATCAACAGCAGCAGCAGCAGATTCTAATCCTACAGCAACAGCAGCAGCAACAGCAGCAATCAAAGACAATATCCACCAGCACGATCCTGGGCAAGGATCAGCAGACACAGAAAAGACTAAGCCGCCACCAGACTGTGCTGATGAGCGAGCGCCCATTGCCCCCCACGGCTGAGCCCAGCTACTACTCCAAGCAGATGCAGATGCAGCTGCACAGCCACGGCCACAGCCACGGCCACAACCTGCCCACCCACGTTCCCCCTGGCGCCTATCTCAATGGCGAGGATCCAGCGGCCTGTGTGCCGCTGCCTGTGCGGTACACGCCGCTGCCCGCCGCCCCCAATATTTCCTCCGCGACGGCCGTCTCGCGCATGGGTCGCCACAGCCTGACCTCGAGCGGAGCCTCGCCGCGCAGCCATCGCCCGTTGGCCATATCGCTGAGCATCGACAACCACAGCCACAACCACAATCACAGCCCCAACAATCCCTCACTGGCCAATCTGCGCTGCCGGGAGCCCATGGAGCCCAGTGCGGCGGCGACGGCGACGGCGACGGTGGCGGCGCCGCTGGTATCCAAGCAACTACAGCAGACCATCAGCGAGTACATCATCAAGCAGAGCACCGAGGACTGCCGCCAGCTGCTCCAGCAGGTAAGGCTTAGCCCGCAGCAGGCATCAGGACTCCAGGACTCCAGAACTCATATTGTGCTTCAAATCAATTTCAGTCCACGGCCATTGCCGAGGGTAAGGAGGAGCTAGCCAGACCGGAGCCAATGGCAAGTGGCGGAGGAAGAGCCAGCACGCCCACTTCCTCCTGCTCGGCGACAGCCATAGCCACGGGCAATGCGCATGCCGAGGATCAGAACCAAAATCAAAACCACAGCCACAGCAACAGCCACAGCCACAGCCACAGCCAGAAGACAATAAAGGCCATGTCGAGTTCGAGTAGCTTCGACTCGACCGCCAATCTGAACCAAAGCTTTCGCTACAAGATGTCCGCCGAGGCGAACAAGCTATTCCAGACCCTTCAGGAGAGTCCACTGCCCGTAGAGGTAAGTTTTGCTAGCCATTCCCCGCCCCACCCCAAAAAGGTGGCTGATCCGATCCTCACTCTCGCCACACAGAAGCCCAAGAGGAGAGGGGCGGCCAGCACCAATGGCAATGGCAATGGCCATGGCCATGAGGCTGGGCAGGAGCTGATCGAGGGCAAGCCAAATGGCGACAGGTAAATACGCCGCTCTGCCTGCAGCATCCAGCTCATGTTATGCCCCTTTGCTTTCCTTTCCTCCCCCCGCCCTCATTCGCAGGCGCAGCGATAAGAAGACCTTCGAGAAGAAAGTACTGGCCCAGGGCAGCTCCAGCACGGACGAGGGCTGTGAGACGGACCAGGGCAACGAAGCTCCCACGCCCAGTGCCAGTGCCAGTGGCAAGGAAGGCTCCCAGTCGAGCAGCGACCTCACCACCAACGCACACAGCGGCAATGGCAATGGCAATGGCAACGGGCACGGCCACGGGCATAGCCAGACCACAAGGATGCGTTCCTATGCGAGCAGCAGCAGCTCCAGCGGTGTGCTCGCCTCCGGCAGCTACTCGAAGAGCCTCAGCCAGAACTTGAGTCGCGGCTCCTCGAAGAGCAACTGCAGCGCCGGGGCCTACGACAGCCTGGACTTTGTGCTGCCCAGCGGCAGCCTGCCCTCCTGCATGGGATCCAGCTCGATGCTGGCCGCCGTTGCAGCCGCCGGCGTAGCAGCCGCCGCCTCCAGTGAGCACTCCTCGGAGCGGTCACTCTACAGCAGCCACAACTCGTGCATCCACATGCCCAGTGCCGTCAATTTGAGTCTGACGGCCAGCTCCACACCAAATCCCACACCGCCACCACCGCCAGCAGGGGGAGCGGGCGGTGGTGGTGGTCCCTTCCTGGATAAGCGCTCGCCCATTCACTTTCGGGAGGGGCGACGGGCGAGCGATGGACTGGTGGCCCAGGGACTGCTCAGCTCCGGGGGCGGCTCACTTTTGGGCAGCAGCCGCGTCTACGGCAGCTACCGCTACGACCAGGTCAAGCGGCATGGCTGGCTGGAGATACAGCAGCTGCAGCAGGAGGCGGCAGCCATCCATCATCCGCATTCGCATCAGCATCCACATCAGCACTCGCACTCGCATCCACACCCACATCCGGCTGCGCCCTACGGCCTGGAGGAGCTCAGCCTGGGCAATTGTCAATTTCCCAATGGTCAATTCTATGCGCTGCCTGGAGGCAAGCCACCGCCACCACCACCGCCGCATCATCATCATCCACTGCTGACGCTCCAGCACCACCATCAGCAGCACCACCATCCCCATCCTGGTCATGGACTGTTCCATCCGGGATCACCGGGTGGACACGTGCCCGTGCCGCTGCTCCTGGAGGCGGCTGGTGGTGACATTTACAGCCATGCCGCCTGCTATGCCCCACCACCGCCACCGCCGGGCCTCTACTCGCATCAGCATCAGCATCAGCTGGGCATGGCGGTGCCCATGTCGCCCATGCAGAAGCCGCCGCTGCAGCAGCAGCTCCTGCAGCACCGCCTGCTCCAGCAAAAGCGACAGCTCTTCCAGAAGCAGTACGCTCTGGAGGCGCAGCTAGCGGGACGCCATCACCACCAGCAGCAGCAGCATCAGCATCAGCACCACCAGACAGCGCACTTCAACCACGGCCACGGGCATGGGCATGGGCACGGGCACGGTCATAGCCTGAACCACGGACTGAATCTTGGGCTCGGACTTGGTCACGTATCGCCAGCGCCAATGCCAATGCCGGAGCAGCATCTGACCGAGGAGCTGTACGAGCTGGCCATGCTGGACCGCCCGAGGAGCGGCACTCCACGACTGCAGCACTCACTGACGATGCCCGGCGCGCACGCCTTCAGCCAGATGAACCTCAAGACCTCCTACATCAGCCAGCCGGCCCAGTCGGAGTCGTCGTCCGGGCCAGGCTCCGGCTCGTGCTCGGGCCCAGGCTCAATGTCGTCACCCGGCCCCGCATCGGCATCAGCGCCGCCGTCCACAGCGCCGGGCACGCCCACGTCGGTCAAGTGCAAGCCATCAACGCCCCACGGGCACAGCCACGAGGCAGACTATCATGTAAGCATTTTCGTGAATTTTAATAGCTCTTATTTTTTTTTTTTCAAAAATGAGAATTAATCATGATTTATTACATTATATAAATCGTAAATAGAAGCTTTTGGCTAATACGATTAAAATAGGAATTTTAGTTGTATTTATATTCCATGTGGCCGTAACATATTTCCTTCACATAACTCTTAGTAGCGGTGCCCGGAGAAAACTTCTTTAATCAACAAAAAATCTCCAACACAATTACAACTGAAAAGGTTTTATTTTTAATGCCCGCACTCGAAGAAGTTCATAAGCTCACACACATATACACATATATACTGATACAAGTAGAGTCTCGGCCACTGCAGCGACACAGCGTTCCGTCTCAATTTTTCTTAAACATTGAAAAATTATAAATTTTTAAATTTTAAATATTTAATCAGAGTCATAGAGATGGCAGACCCTGAACCACATAATCCAGCATTAATTCTTAGTTTACAATTAATTTGTATTGAGTAGATGAATACTTCATCGATTTCGAATATTTCTTATAGACATCGACGCCAGTGCTTAGTTTATTCACGCCCAACTGGCAGACGCTGGTCAAGCCGCTCAGCGAGAGTCCCATTCTGGAGATATCCGAGCATATGGAATCAGTCTGAAATGGATCGTAACTCCCGAGCAGTTGATGGATGGATAATGGATGATGCATGACAAACGAAACGAAGTTAAACGAACTAATGGGAGTCCGAGGCAGGGGCATCCCTTTCTTTTTATTAAGCTCGCAATCGCAATTATGAATTATTTTATCCATATACGATATACACATACATACATGCATACATATAGATGATATACACACACACACATACGTATACATATACAGATACGGATATACATACATACATACGAGCAGATATCGCTGGATAGCCGGAGCAGGCCATGGGGGTGTGTGTGTGTGTTCTCTTCCCTAAGGGTGAATGAAGCTCCCTAACCTAACCTATATATTTATCGCGGAGGGCCAGGAAGCCAACCGTTTTTTGCCGTAATATTGGAAGAATAATTTAGTTGTGTTACTAGTCCATAAGTAGTCCAAAACAAAGAAAAGCAAAAGCAAAAGCAAATGAAGTTACGTACGCATACGCAGCAGAACCTATATACACGGTATGGTAGAGTTATACATATATGGTATGATATATTGATAATAATAACGTTAAGCTATAGCTCTACTTATGATTATACTTACTACGAGTATACACTCGAAATTAGCGCCACGCCCCCCCCCTACCCATTTTGGATATATAACAAACAAAAAAAAGAAAGAAAAGAATCTTAAGAAGTTCTCTTTGGGGAGTTTGGCTGCGAGTGTGGGGAGAGAGCTGGAAGATGAGCAACGTAAACTACATATATCAATTATTCGAAGCATTTATTGGGGCTATAGATACGTATATATCTGTATACGGATATATGTTTATATCTCTATGTATTGGTACAATAATTAGCGACAAGCAAACAAACTAAAAACCGAAGAAAACAAAAACCAAAAACAAAACAAACAAAAACCAAACATCGATTGTTCTTAAACATGAAATTTAAATGTAAACCAGATATTAAAGTCATTTGGTATAAAATGCAAACAAAATTTTTATTTGCTGTATGGGAGTATTTTTTTCTATATTATTACATTTGTATATATATGTAGTGTGTGTGTGTGTGTGTGTGTGTGTGTAGATGGGTGATCTGTGTGTGTTGAATGCTTGGAAGGAAGAATCGGATCGAATCGGAACGGAACGATATTTGAGAGTCCTTTTGTGAGCCAGTGAGCTAAGAGCTTGCTTGCTTGCTTTTACAGTGATGCCTCCTTCACGCCGATAACTATTTTTCAATGTATGATTCCCCTTTTGGGGGCCTCACGCCTTCACCTGTCGCTGCGACTCCTGCAGCTTTTTCTTGGCGGCATTCGCATTGGCATTCGCATTGGCATTGGCATTGTGCCTTTGCTGATGCGGATCGGCTGGGCCATGGCAGCGCAACAGATTCCAGTAGGCGCGTCGATACTCCGAGCTCATCAGCACATAGATCAGCGGATTGATGCAGGTGGTCAGATAGATGAGCAGATAGCCGGCAATATTGAACACATGCACCTCGGTGGCGCTCTTCCAGATCTTGGCCACCGTGATCGGCAGATAGCAGATGACGAACCACACAAAGATCACCAGTATCATCTTGAGCAGGCGCCGATCCTTGACACTCATCCGTCCCGGATAGATGGACGAGGCATTCGATGTGTTGCCCATCGACACGTAGTGCGATTTTCGTGGACTGAAGCGCGTAAAGGAGGTGCGCAGCGAGGTGGTTATGGGATTGGCAACGTTCGGGTTCTTTCTGCGTTGTGTGTGATCAATAGAATAGAGTGGACGCGGATTAGAACCAGTCAGGAGTGGTCTAGTAGGGGGTAGGGGTGGATACGTACGTGGAGTTCTTGCTCTGCTCCAGCTGGGTCTGTGTCTGGTTCTTGGCTTTATTTGTGTCTAGCTCTTTTAGCACCACATTCACATCGACCGGCAGCTGATGATCCTCCTGATTCTGATGCTGATTCTCCCTTTGTCGCCTGCCGATGCTGTACGATATGGGCAGACTATCGTTGGAGGCATTATCATCGATATATGCTATATACTCGTCCACCACAAACGGTCGCTGGCCGTGCTCCGGCTCCGGCTCCGGCTCCAAGCTGGAAGTGCTCGCCTTTTCCCTGCTTTCCACCGTCGTCGCCGTCTTGGGCATGGCCAGGGATTGGGGCGCCGCTGCTGCTGCTGCTGCTGTTGGCATGGCGGCATTGCTGGTGCCGGCGCGTATGGCCGCCTGGCGTACGAGCAGAAAGATGCGGGCATAGCAGATCACGATGCAGATGCAGGGCAGCATGAAGGCGGCGGTGAAGAGGAACTCCTTTGGCGAGCGGCCGTACTGGTCGTGCAGTATCGAGCACGAGCCAATGCTCGTGTCCAGCCCAAAGCGGCCCCACACGCCGCGCCACGTCGGTATCATAATGGAGAAGGTCAACACCCAAGTTCCGGCCACCATCAAGGCCAGATAGCGGCGCTGATAGATCCTGCCATAAAGAAAAGAAATACAAATTGAAATCACACATGGAATGGGATTAGGGGAGGGGTGACTACTCTGGCCATGGATACCTGGGATACTGCCTCGGATGGGCAATGATGATGTAGCGATTGATGGTGATCAGCGAGACGGATAGCAGGGAGACGGCCAGCAGGCCGTAGCGCAGCATGGGGAAGAGCCGGCACAGCAGATCGCTGTGCGTCCATGCACGCTGCATGAACGTGGACGCGGCCAGGGGCAGGTTGAAGCATCCAAACAGCAGATCCGAGCAGGACAGATTGATGATGAATATGGCCGTGGAGTTGCGCGTCTGACGGCCACGTGAGAGCGCCACAATGGTCAGCAGGTTGCCGGGCACGCCCACAATTATGAAAACGATGCAGGCCACCCAGGCGAAGGTCAGCAGCTCGTCCGAATAGCCCTGAAAGAGTTCGTTGCCGCGCACGCCAGCCGCAGCCGCAGCCGCAGCCATTCCGTTGACATTCAGCTCGTAGCTGTCCTGGCCCTGGTCCAGGACGCCAGACTGGCTCTGGGGGGGTGCGAACATGCTCCGGCACTGATCGCTGATCGTTTGGGGCCGTTTCGACAGTGACGCGCCCGGTTCCTGCGCCGAATTTGTACTAAACTAAATTCTCCGCACCCACAGCCCACTTCCACATAGCCACCATCCCAGCATCCCCAACACCCCCCACACCCCAGCAGCAACGACGGACCAGAGACGGATGGCTGAGATGGGATGGGATGGGATGGAATGGGATGGGATGGGTTGGTGTGAAGTGGTGGTGGGGCGCAGAGGCAGGCGGCCAAGCGAATATTGGAAACAAAAAGAGCAGCACAATATCGCAAGCCGACGCTTTGGATACCCTTTCCCTGCAGCCAACAAATTTCCATAGTTTTTTATGGCAGCGTTGGCTGCCTCTTGGGCTTACAAATATTTTCAAGGCAGCTGCATAAATAAATGAAAAGAATTAATAATTAAATTAATACATTTTCGCAGTATTTTTGGTACTCAGAAAGAGTCTTCTTTTTTGGAAAAAAGATTAAGAATCGGTGCACAGTTTTAGCTAGATAATGAAGTGTCGTAATACCCTTTGAAAGGGCATAAAAAGCGCAAGAAAAATAGGCATGGTGCTGGGGAACTGGAAAAACTTTCGAAAAAGGAAAACAAAAAGAACAGCAACAAATTTTTATTGTATACAACAATTGACTTCATCATCGGGTAATTTTGGTAATTTGGAAATTTGGTTGTTCTTTTTTTCGTGTATTTTTGTTGTTGTTGTTGTTGTTGTTTTTGTTGGAATGGGGCGCTTTGTTTACATTGTTCCTATTCTTCTATTCCTGTTGTCGCTGTCTCGCTCTTGCCAGTGCCTTTGCTGTTCCTTTCGTTCTTTCGTTCGCTCTACTCAGCTCTGCTCTGATCAGCTCTGCTCTGCTCTGCTCTGGGATGGTTCGTGCTGTTCGAACGATTCTTCTGATATTGCTCGGCTCTCTTCTTTTTTGGAATTTCCAAATACTCGCACTCGTAATCCAAATCAGGGCTGGGCGAAGCGAGACGCCGCCCCAGTGGGGCAGCGGCCTTGCCCAGGCGTGTCCGCCGTGCGCCATGGCGCAGCCCTGGGCCATTAAACGCACGCATTTTCGTGAAATTGAAAACTTTTCAATTCTTTCAATCTCTATACACGTATGTACATAAACATATACCTAAACATACATACGCTTTCGTTTTTTGTAAATACGGTTAAGTCTGCCCATATTGGACACTGCCCCAATGCTAAGAACTAATATTTTTTTTTTGTAGTTTTTTGAACACTGGACAATCATGCTAATTTTTTGTCATCCTTCGTCATTTTGACTACGACCTACAGCCATTCATATTTCCAGACGCTATAAAAAGTATCGTGAGCAAAATTCAAATTTCATAATAAACTTATTTTATTTTGTTAATTAGTTCGTTTTAAATCATTAGTGGAACAAATTCAGTTAGTTCCCTGACTGATTCAACTTAGAATTAACCTTTCACAGAGTTCTTTCAATTGGCATGGATTTCAAAACATAAGATACATATAATACCATCGAAAATCATAACAAAAGCAAATTTTTTTTTTAGATCTCTTTTTGTTTATTATAATGAATATATTAAACTTAAATTGGAGCAATAGTTTTGAGATCAATTGTTGCATATGGAGCAGCGGATCGGTTAGTGAAAATTCACTGCAAATTCACTTCTTCATTCTCTCTATAATAATGATCTGTACCGATCTGTACCAGATCTTATCATTCTCTACGATACTGCGTTTTTAGTTTTTTTTCTCGTATCTTCAAAATTGTGAATGCCACAGATTTTTGTCCTTTGTGGGGGCGGAAAGGAGTTGGGCGAAATTTGTAGCACATGGAAGCAAAATTTGGTTGCTCTTGCTTTTATAGTCTCTGAGATCTAGGCGCTCATCAAGACAGAGACTCGGCTATTGATGCCTCTCAAGAATATATATACATACATACATATGTATATACTTTATAGGATCGGAAAAGATTCCTTCTCTGCGTTGCACACATCCACTTTTACCACAAATCTAATAGGTACGTATATCCCTGAACTGTTCGATTACGGGTATACATAATTAACCATATCTGATATCCAAGTAGTTACTGCTCTTAAATTCTGGATACGTAAATCGTGGTTTATCGAGTGTATTTTTTGTCACGATTTTAGGAGCAAAAGGCCCCGGCTCCGGCCCCGACCCCGGCCCGTATAAGTAACATTTACCCCTTTCCCCATCTTTTGAATCACATTTGTATTGGAAATGCATGCATCATGCTGACTCATGGCTGCCCTAACCTTTGCGTCGCGCCACGCTCCCCCATGTGCCGTTACAAATGATTAAGGCACTTTGGGCTTGGGTCATTGCTAGGCGCCGTCACCACGTCCGAGTCTCGTACGCGTCACAGTGTTTCGATTGAAAGTCGTCTCAATTAATAAAAGCAACAATCCCCCACCCGTCTCCCGCCACTCTGCCCTCCCCGCCAGTTGTCGGGGTCGTGGTCGGGGTCGGGTGCGGGCCATTTGTTTGGCAGAAAAAATTCAATTCGGTTGAGTTGAATTTTCGTTTTGTTTTTCAAAGTACGAGTATTCCGAGGAAAACTCTTTGGCAACGTGAGCTGACCCCCGAACGGACAGGACAGGACAGCAAAGATCTCCGTAATTGTTTGTGTTTTTTATGCAGGCGAACCAAATAATTTATGTAGCTTGACTTTACACACACACACACACACAGCATCTATGTACGTATGTACATATGTAAGTTCACGATAGCAAAAAGTATATAACCGATGCTCATAGAAAATAGGTTTCTACTATGAGAGATAATCCGTGGAGCAGACAATTTTAAAAATACGACAAAACTGAAAACTCAGAATCCTAGAGCAACAGATTGCCAAATCTGCACCAGATCGGAACTATTTACTATAGCCAATATATGTACATAGGTACATACTTATGTACCTTATATATTTATGCATGTACGCATTTCTTTGTGGTTGTGACGTTTTAAGACTGAAATTTATCTCGTTCAAAGATTATACTTTAAGTACATACATACATATGTGTGTATGTATGTGTATATATATTTAGATAACTATAAACTATCATGTTCTTCACACAATCCCCAACAAACAACAAACAAAAAGTAATCGCTGCAGAGCAGGGGAGGGGCACTAAAACCGCTTCGTCTTCATTTCGAACAACCAATATCGATGTCGAATGTCGATGTCCAATTGTGTAAACATTAGAATACGGACACAAACCGCCTCCCTTTCCGCCGATTGCCGTTGACCCTTCCGCAGACGAAGAACCTTATCAGGATCGATGGTTAAACATATCTGTACATAATACATATGTACACACATTCATATTAGATACATATGTACATATCTATGTTGTACTTATGTAGTTCTTGGTTGCTGCTGGCGCTGCTTGCTGCTGCACAATTGATTCTGAGAATCATGCGTATCTGCACATACTCATCGCGGATGGATCGGCATTCATTGAGCACTTTTATTGGCATTACATTACACACACACACAGAGCTCTCCCCCTGCCCCACCGCCCTTCCAACGATCGCAACGATCGGCATTTGCCCCTCTGGCTGGTGTGCGTGTGCGTGTGCTTGTGCGTGCCATCTCTGTCTGTCACGTTGTCTGCAAGAGCGCAGACACAGCGCCAGAGCTTCAAGGCAGGGTATAACTTCTATAAGGTGAGGCCTCACAGGCCTTACCCTTAGCTGGGTTCGAATTTCTATAGAAAATCGGAATTTAACAACAACAAAAACATTGTAGATTTCTTCATCAGTAGCAAATGAGCTAATGGGAAAGAAAAGGAGAAAAAGAGGCCGCCCGACCCTACCTAAATACGACTTGCGCGAAAGCATGCTCAGACGGCCGAAGAGAGAGTGAGAGCGAAAGAGAGCCAGGCATTTGTCAACTGACAATATCACGACGACGACGACAGCGACGACGACGACTGCGACGGACGACGGCTCTGCCAACAACACTCGATAAAGTGCACTCGTTCTAGGCAAACGCGGGGCGCTTAACAATTTGGCCGTTACGTTACGGTTAGTTAAGTTCGTCGGCTTTCGGAGTTTCGATTTCAATTTCGGTTTCGGTTTGGGTTTCAGTTTTTAGTTGAGTTTGATTTCCATTTATTGCTTGTGCCCGTAATCTATTAAAGTGACATTCGATTCGATTCGGACTGCCGATCGCTGATTCTTGTTGTTTTTTGTTTTTTGTTTTTGTTTGTTTGTTTGTTTGTTTCTGTTCAAGTGCGTGGCGTGTGAGTGAGAGATAACCCTAGCGGGGTCATTATTGGTGGTGCTCCCTGTGATTATGCTGCTGAGTGTGGTGAAACCTTTTCTACCTGCAGGCGGCTGGGCCCACCACGAGAGCACAACTCGCGTGCCGCCGAAACCCGCACCGTATTAGTCATGATCGTCAGAGCGGCTCTTGAATCACCAGCAGTAACAGCAACAGCAACAGCCTCCATCCCCCCTGCCTTACCCCATTGCCACAGCCACCGAGTGGCGTCCACAACAACAACAATAGCAGCCAATGGCACCACCACCACTTGCTCGTTTATGAATAAACGAATTCGAATGCCGTAAACTGTTTACATTGCTCAAAAGCATTACTCACCTCGCCTCACCTCAGCTCTCTCTCTCACACTCGCTCACACAACCTGACACAGCCAGAGCATAGGTGGGCAGGGAGCGGAGCGCATTGAATTGCATTGAATTGGAGTGGAGTGGGAGGATCGCATTGGAGATTCGCAGCTGCAGCACTAGAGTCTGTCGATTACGTGAGCAGAAAATAAACAACAGGCAGCCGCCAGCCGCCAGCCGCCATTCCCCCTGACCGACCACCACTGATAACACCGCAAATACAAACAAACAAACAAGCCAGAAGCAGAGAGGGAAACCGATCGTGTGTGCTTGTGTGCGTACGGTGAGAGAGAGGGAGTGGAAGTGGGAGAGGATCGTATACTCCTACCAACCAAAACGCATGAGAGCAGCCCCCGGATAACTCTCAGTGTGACTCAGGTGAGCGGGAATCTAACTCTTCTCTCGATTGCGTATACGCCGTGCGTGACATGGCAGATCCTCGACCAGAGGGACAGGAACGGTGGGGCCCGGGGTTCATCACTTGTCTCCATTAGGGTGCCACTTCACACATTAGAGCAGAGGATAGGCGATGACACAGACAGTTACACACACACACACACACAGAGGCAGGCACTCAATTAATTAAGGTTCGGCGCTGATCTTTGCACCCCAAGATGAGCTCCGGCCAGTGCCGGAGAGACACCCAGAACACACATCAGAAATACCAGAAGCAGAAGCAGAAACAATAACAGTAACAGAGACGAGTGTGACCTCTTTAAATTATTTAATTGACACTAATTTATCATAGTCCCATTCCCAATAAGAAGCAGCAGCAGCAACAGCAACAGCAGCAAAAGGGTGACCCGCCCCGGGGCTATGCTGTGCATCTGCGCCGACGCACAGGCCCGCAAGTGGCATCAACGCAATGACTGCGCTCCCAGTTGGAAATTGTCGGCCGTGGCGATCGGTGAACCAGTCCTTGGCGATTGCTCCGACAACAGGATAGAAATAAAATTAGAAATCTAAATCTGAATCTGAAAGACAATCACAATAAGAATAATAATAAATAACATTTATCTGGGAGGTACTACATCCAGCTTGAACATCTATTTCGAACATTAACTCGATGGGACTTTGCTTCATTGGTTAATCCCCGATTTTCTTTCATTTCTATCTGGCTGCAGCACTTCAGAATGAGTGACGAGACAACGGTCAGCCTGGGTGATGCCTTCTCCCCCATGGACATGCCAACGACAACGATGATGCCCCCGCCAACGGATGTCGATGAGAGCGGGTGAGTTGTAAAGCGGCGACGAGTCGAGTCGAGTCGAGTGGTGCTATGTGATGCGACCCTATCGGGAGCTATGGGTAATTATAGCTCTTGGCTGGCAGTGTGAAAGGTCCGATAAGAGATCGTTAATATTACGCGCTTCATTACACTAGTTGTGGGGCCCATCAATGGCGGTGGGGGGGTGGGGCATGGATGAGGGATGTGTTGACACGATCGCTGCGATGACACCGCCTGGGAGTGCCAACAAAGAGAACGATTCTTGTGCCACTGGGCGGAAGCCCACGACGAGTCACCGATATGATGATAACCGGGGGGGACCAGACCGGATTGGGCTTGGCTTGGGTCCTAGGAGGCCGAAGGTCGCATCACTTCTCGATTAAAGCTGCAAGGATCACATATATATTCGCCCTTCTTATTTGTGTGTGCTTTTTGTTGCAGCTTCTCGCACTCGCTGCTGACATTTGCCGCAGTCATGACCTTCCTGATCATGATCGTGGGCATCTGCGGCAATCTGCTGACTGTGGTCGCCCTGCTCAAGTGCCCCAAGGTGCGCAATGTGGCCGCAGCGTTTATCATCAGGTGCGTTTCTCCACCATCTATCTTACGAGTCCAGTATTCCAGTCAGGGGGGAGATTAACGCCATTTTTTGCCTCTCCCGTAGTCTTTGCATTGCCGATCTGCTGTTCTGCGCCTTGGTGTTGCCCTTTCAGGGCCTCCGCTTCGTCCAGGGTACGTGGCGACACGGCGAGGTGCTGTGCCGGCTCATACCCTTCATCCAGTACGGCAACATCGGCGTATCGCTGCTGTGCATCGCCATGATCACGATCAACCGCTACGTGATGATCACGCACCACAGTCTGTACAACAGGATCTACAAACGCCACTGGATAGCCATCATGATCGCCGCCTGCTGGCTGTTCTCGTACGGCATGCAGCTGCCAACGCTGCTGGGCGCCTGGGGACGATTCGGGTACGATGCCCGCCTGCAGACCTGCTCCATAATGAGCGATCGCCACGGGCATAGCAGCAAGACGACGCTCTTCATCACCGCCTTTGTAATACCCTGTCTGGTGATCATCGCCTGCTATGCGAAGATCTTCTGGGTGGTGCACAAGTCCGAGCAGCGGCTCAAGCGGCATGCCACCAAACAGAATTCCATTCCCAACAATCTGCGGCCATTGGCCGCTGCCACCACGCTGCCGGCCGGCGATGGTGCGAGTCCCAGCCAGGTGCCAGCCGGCTGTCGGGTCTCCTCCGACAGCAGCAGCAGCTACTCCACGGATATTCCCGATACCACACCAGCTGGTGGCGGTGCCAGTGCTGGTGCTGGGTCCAAGCAGCAGCCGACCCGCGTCAAGGATCAGCGGGAAGTGCGGGCCAAGCGAAACGAGTGGCGCATCACCAAAATGGTGCTGGCCATCTTTCTGTCGTTTGTCATCTGCTACCTGCCCATCACCATCGTGAAGGTGGCCGACAAGGATGTGGAGCACCCCAGCCTGCACATCTTCAGCTACATCATGCTGTATCTGTCCGCCTGCATCAATCCCGATCATCTACGTGATCATGAACAAGCAGTACCGCAAGGCCTACAAGACGGTCGTCTTCTGCCAGCCCGCCGCTCGCCTCCTGATGCCCTTCGGCAAGGGCAACAACGGGGCCAGCAGTGCCGCAGGTACGTACCGGCTGTCACCCCACCCGGGAACTGCCTCCACTAAGTCACGGTCTCAAATCGTTTCAGAGAAATGGAAAGATACCGGGTTGAGCAACAACCACAGCCGCACCATCGTCTCCCAGATGTCGGCAGGAGCAACGGCGACGGCAGCGGCTGCCGCAGCATCAGCGGCATCGGCGGCAACCCAGCCACAGTCCACGTCCACACAGGGTCCGGTTCAGGCACTGGAGCTGACGTCCCGGGTGCCAGATTTGATCAGCAAATCAACGAATCTGCCACTGCCACAGCCATTGCCCCAGATCCCGCCGGTGGGAGCTCCTCCGTCCGTTACACCGCCGCCGCCGCCACCTTCGGTGTTGACAGCGACACACAGCAACGGAAGCGGCAGCCAACGACTGCCCCTCAAGAAGAACAATCACTCCTCCTACACAAACAGCGGCTTCAACAGCAGCGGGATCAGCCACAGCCAGCGGGATCCCCAGCTCAGTCCCAGTTCCAGCGGCAGCGGGGGCCTCTACCGGCCAGGGGTTGGCTCGATGGGGAACGGCTCGGCCTCGATACGGCGCATCACCATGGTGGGGGACGATATTATCCTGGAGGAGGAGGAGCTGCCGCCCACCCCTACAGCGCTGTCACCACCCCAGATGCAGGCACCGCCGCCGCCACCGGCGGCGCTACCTTCCTCAAGACAAACGACAATGAACACAACGCCGAAGACGCCCATCTACATGAACGTCGACAGCCCGAAGAGAAACCAATCTTATAGCGAACGCAACATTCCAGCTGCAGCTAGGGATGGTCAGAATGGGGTCCAGGACTCCCACTACCAAGGCCCAACCGGCAAGCTAATGGATAAAAAGAAATTCCCAAAAGACTAACGAAATGCTTTAATTCCAAATATCAACGTAATTACGTTACGTTACGTTACGTTATGCTACTTTTTTTTGCATGCCCAAATACAATGCATATCGGTGTATCGGTATAAATCGAGATAGATACCCAATTTGATTTATTTTACGGCCCATACGATATACGATTTTAAGTTGCTGTCGTTTGAAATTGTGCCATACACACACACACACACAAGACAGACACAGGCTTGTATTCAAAAAGTTATCATAGATATCGTAAATTGTAAATTATAAATCCGTTTGCTTCCCATGCCAAATATCGTATCCGAATATCGTTTTACAGTATGCGCTTTTGGCCAGTTCGATTAGCTTTTAAAACATTACACTATATATTACACTATATGCCTATACAATACATACATACATACATACGATTATATAAAGCAGTAGTTACATATATTTAGCTATTTATCATTAGCCCCCACCCCCCACACATTTAGTATTAAAAATTACCTTTTTTTTAAACCCATCTAAACATGAATACATACATACATATGTACATATGTATGTTAACATACAGTTGTTTATTAGTTGCTCTTTGTGCCCCAAATTTAAACATTCCAATTCCTGCGTAGGCCTCTGTAAATGTACATCCCCAGTTGTTAGTAAGTACCGTACCGCCCGCCCGCCGTGCACTTCATTTACACACGAACGACAAGCATTCGAATATCAATAATAGTACTACATACATACATACATACATATATACAAATAAATATTTATATAGAAATATAAATACATACACACACACATAGGTACATGCATATATACACGAAATATGGTGCAAACTGCATGCTGCAGTTGTAATTTGAAACTATTTTGCAATGAACGCATATTTTAGCATATTATTCGAAGGCAACGAAAAAAGTAAAGTAAAGAAGTAAAAGTAAAAAAGTAAAATTAAAGTAAATTTATAGTTTCTGTTTTAAATCAAAGTTTCTGCAGGTCTGCTAAAGAGTCTCTTCCTGTATTTTCTGCATATATTTATCATTCGAGACTATATACACACATACATATGTACATATACATACCTCTTGGAAGATCTTTAGTTTCTAATTTAAATCAGACTTCCTGCGGAAGAAGCTCTGAATCATCATCTTGAATTTCTAGGGGAATATATGTACATATCTCTATTATTCGAGACTATTTACATGCAGACATACATATGTACATGTGTAAGTGTATCGCTTACATTTATAGATATATATTTTCGTTTGTACCTTTGTGCTGCTTAATGCAATCAGACTACATGTCATATAACTCCTATAGCAAAACTGCAACCCATTCGGCTTGACAAACATTCCTTGAACATTTAGCACTGCGAACTGTTTCTCTGTTCTGTTTTAAGCCCAAAGGGTGGAGGTGATGGAGCCATCGATACAGGGCGTACACCACCAAGCTGCTGCTGCTGCCGCTTCGATCTGCTGTGCCCATTACCACTTTTGTGGGGCGGGAGCGCCTCTCCTACCCGGCTGGAGCGTGGTGGCTGGCAGGGCAAGGGAAGGGCGTTGCCGCGAGTGCCGGCTGCGCGCTTATCAGTCGCTGGCTGCACTCAGTAAGCCTGCTGCAGCCAGAGCGAACAGGCAGCAGTTAGCTTAGATCCAGGCGGAGGCAGAGCCAAAGCCAAAGCTAGAATGAATGTGATCTGCACGATCTGCTCGGAGCGGTATCGGGCGACGGACCACATCCTGGCCGGCAGCTGCGGTCACGTCTTCCACGAGGAGTGCCTGGAGCGCTGGCGGGCGGAGTAAGTGCCAGACATAGCCAGCTGCGACGCTGCTTATAATCCGTATTGCGTATTCATTTTCAGATCAAGAACGTGCCCCATTTGCCGCAGCGACGACACCGTGTACTTGCAGCTTTACTTGGACTTTGACGAGTCGTCCACGTCCACGTCCCACAGCCAGAATCAGAATCAGAGCCAAGGTCAAAGCGGAAAGCACAGACAGCGGACTCGAGAATGTCAATTGCACCGAATATTCCGGTATAATGCGGGAATACGAGAATCTGCTGTACGAAACGGGCGTGTATCGGGAGGAGATTGAGTACTTAAACGAACGCATTGAGACCATTATGCTGCGCAATTCAGAGCTAAAGGGGAAGCTAGAAATGTCGAGCGATTCTGATTAAAGGCAACTTTTTGAGGGTAAACATTCGCTTATCTGTCTTTTTGCCGGGTTGGATTGCACCTCTGCACTCCGAGCGAGCACTCGAGTGCAAAAACAAAGCGATTCGCATCTGCGAAGATACAAATACAAATCTATTTAAAATTTATAATCCAATCCAGCTGTGAACCGAACCAGTTTCGCAGCGGTTCCGTTCCAAGTGCAACACTGTTCGCTTGCCGTTCGCCCGGCACTTGGGCGCGCACTTTGAACTACCTGAAAATTAACTGTAGTCGGCCTTTTCATTGCCCTGCATTTCGGGCAATTTTAAGACATTTCGCTCGTGAACTGTGGCCAGGCCATGGAGTGTGTGCGTGGTGTCAGCGGGCAAATACATTTGTGCACCCCCAAAATGCTGGCCGACTGCAGCGAGTGCACAGTCAGCTGTTCATTTGCGAAAAATCGCCAGTTTATGTGCTTCTTCTTGGCCTCTTCTGTGTGAATAGCATATTGCCGCGTCTCTTTGTATCATGATGATGGACTCAATTACAATTACAAAAATTGCAACAAATTAATTCTGCAAGTGTATGTGTGCGTTCCGTTGCCCGATTGTGATAGCCCCGATAAGTATTTAAACATAAGTGCGCGTCGTTTAGCAAGAAATCAGGCGGCCCTGGCTGCAAGTAAGTTGCATTTGCATTTATATTAATTCCCATTGTAAATACTTTTGAGTCTCGTTGTCGGCTCGGAGATTCTCTGATTCCGATGGCAGTGGGGCAGTTGTCATTGCTGTTTGGCTGGGTTTATATTTGTGTGTCGCTTGCGCCGATGCGTCTCGCCTCGTCGCGGTATTGGGGTCGAGGCTGTGGCCGGGACCGGAGAAATTGGCCCATTCTCCATTCATATGCATTTTCCACACATAATTGCAGCAACATTTTTATTTGCAACAGTGGCAAACCAGCCAGACGCAGAGTTGCTTTTGTTGTAGGTGTGTGGTGAGAACGCAATGGCGCTGCGCTGCTAGGGCTGTCGCCTCCCCCGAACTGACTGACAATCAGGGCGCGAATGTCAAGGTCTTCAAATGAATATCAAGCCCCGACTGACAAGTGCAGCAAGCATTACTTAGAATCGCTATTTGCGTCAGCATTTGGGGGTCAACATCAGATATATTTGTGCATCTGCGAGCGGTGTAACAACTCTGCAACCGTGGCCGCTGAAACAGAGATGCGCAGGTGTTGTGACTGCCGAATCACAGTGAAGTGCGGGCACTAGTGAAAATGAAATACGGACACCATTTAATGCTGTAATAAGCAATGTGCAAATACAGATATGTATGTGAGTGTTTTTCATTTTAATTGCGGGCATTTTCATTTAATGTGTTCAACTATGACTTGCAGCCGTGACTAAAGAGAATATTTGGTGACCTGTGTCACGGTTTTGCGCAAAACACTGCTCATCTCCAGAGAGGTGAATTGTGGCCGTGGTGGTGAGATTTGTCTTTGTTGAGAAAAAATGTCGACGCGAAAAAAGGTTTTAATCCATTAGTCAGAAAGTCTGGCATTCTTTGTTGTTGGAAAATCGCATTTGGAGTCTGCAAAAGCGGGATTTTGCGTACGGAGTGCGACACGAGCGAGATTATGTAAATGCAGCACCTGGAACGGCGACTGCAACACCAGACCACACCAGAGCAGACCAGAGCTGCTCTACTCTACCTAGCCAATCGCACAGACACGGTGGCGTTGGTGTTGACGACACACAAAGTGAAACCAGCGCAGCAGAGAGCAGCAGTGAGGGGAAAGTCAGCGTCAGCAGCACCCAAAACACGCAAAACACGACAAAGACAAAAGTAGGAGAGGAAGAGGAAGAAGCAACCAACCGATCTGTAACTGTAAACAGAAGGTAGAACTGAACGCTGTCGGAATGGACAACTGCGACCAGGACGCAGGCTTCCGGCTGGGCCACATCAAGGAGGAGGTCAAGCCGGACATTTCGCAGCTAAATGACAGCAATAACAGCAGCTTTTCGCCCAAGGCGGAGAGCCCGGGCCCCTTTTTGCAGGCCATGTCCATGGTGCACGTTATGCCATCGGGCAACAGCAGCGAAAATCAGGGCCAGATGGCACAGGCGGCCGCGGGCGGCGCCTCCGCCCAGCAGCAGTATCCGCCCAACCACCCGCTGAGCGGCTCCAAGCACCTGTGCTCCATCTGCGGCGATCGGGCCAGTGGCAAGCACTACGGCGTCTACAGCTGTGAGGGCTGCAAAGGCTTCTTCAAGCGCACGGTGCGCAAGGATCTCACATACGCCTGCCGCGAGAACCGTAACTGCATCATCGATAAGCGCCAGCGGAACCGCTGCCAGTACTGCCGCTACCAGAAGTGTCTGTCCTGTGGCATGAAGCGCGAGGCGGTGCAAGAGGAGCGCCAGCGCGGCGCCCGCAGTGCGGCGGGCAGGCTAAATGCTGGTGGCGGATCTGTCGGTGGTGGCAGCGTCGGCTCTGGCAGTGGCGGTGGCGGAGGAAGCGGTGGCAGTGCGGGCGGAAACGGAGCGGAGGAGTTCATGGCCAACAACGTATCCCGGGACTTCAACATTGAGCGGCTGCTGGATGCCGAGCAGCGGGCCGAGGCGCAGAGCGGCGACCGGGCCCTGTCCTTCCTGCGCGTCGGCCCCAACTCGACGGTGCAGCCGGACTACAAGGGGGCCGTGTCGGCCCTGTGCCAGGTGGTGAACAAACAGCTCTACCAGATGGTGGAGTACGCTCGCCTCATGCCGCACTTTGCACAGCTGCCGCTGGACGATCAGGTGATCCTGCTGAAGGCCGCTTGGAACGAGCTGCTGATCGCCAACGTGGCCTGGTGCAGCATTGTGTCGCTGGACGATGCCATGGCCACCGCCATGGGCCACGATAGCGCCTTCGAGCGGCGCTCGCCGGTGCTGCAGCCGCAGCAGCTGTTTCTCAACCAGAGCTTCTCCTACCATCGCAACAGCGCCATCAAGGCGGGCGTCTCCACCATCTTCGATCGCATCCTATCCGAGCTGAGCGTAAAGATGAAGCGCCTCAATCTTGACCGCCGCGAGCTGGCCTGCCTCAAGGCCATCATTCTGTACAACCCGGACATGCGAGGCATCAAGAACCGAGCCGAGATCGAGAAATGTCGTGAGAAGGTCTACGACTGCCTGTACGAACACTGCCGCGTCGAGCATCCGGGCGACGATGGCCGCTTTGCCCAGCTGCTGTTGCGCCTGCCCGCGCTTCGCTCCATCAGTCTGAAGTGTCTCGATCATCTATTTTTCTTCCGCATCATCAGCGATCGGCCGCTGGAGGAGCTCTTCATTGAGCAGCTCGAGTCGCAGCCACCTCCCGGCCTCACGCTGAAGCCCGAATGAGCGGCGGCGTGCTGCCCATCGAAAGTTTCATTGTGATTGCGTTGTTTGCATTTGTCCCTCCTGATCCTGATCCTGAACCTGATCCCCTTCCCCCACACACCCCCACGCCCACTCTTAATATTACGCAAAATGTGTATGTAATTGTTTTTTTTTTTTATTAACATTATTATTATTATTGAGATAGAAAATGTTTTCCTTAAGATGATTATATGCCTACACACAAACGTTTATGGCCAAGTAAACGAAAAACCAATCCCAAAACTTGAGAAGTACACACACACACACACACACACCCACACACACCACCCACACAGACACACACACAAAGACACAAAAGCGAAAAGCAAACACACACAAAAATCTAATTAAAAATTAAACTAAACTAAAGCTAAAGCTAAACGAACATAGATCTAGGCATAATTATGATGTACAAACGTATGTATATGTATATAAATGTATGCATCGGTATGCATACATTATCTATGTAGCCACGTACAGGTACGCATGTGTTCCGTATGCCCGTTCTTGAACCAATTGTAATTAATTTTTATCATAATTGTAACCAGAGTTGCGTTGCCGATTTCATGCGAGACGCAGAACACAAACACAACATAAAATGAATCCAACCAGATATATATATATATATGTATGTATATCTTATGTATTGTATAAAATATAACTCCTGCATAACATAAGGCTTGGGCGTTTCTCTGCTTCACGGATCACGGATCATGGCACGGATCGTCGATTAATTCAGCCGTTGGATATATCCAGCCACTAGTACAGTGCCTGGCAAAACTGTAGGACAGTGCTGGGCGGAGACACGGCTACAAACCCGTACAATGTTTCTCCTGTGGGATCTGCAGCATTGAAAGCTTTTTTCTGAGCTAATTTTACAATAACTGACTACGGCGAAGGATAATCATTCAATTCAAATCGGAGCTGCCGTAGACAAGTGAGTTGGAATGAACAGCCGCTGCAGATTGCAATAGAAATCAATTGGGACATACATACCCACACAGGTGTAAGAATTAATGTCAATGGCAAAAAATATATCCATTCTATCCACAGACCGTGTTCAAACTGAATTTAAATGGAAATAAGTGGCACCCCCCAATGTGGTTGACAAAATGAAAATATTTGAATGTACACGACACGAGACGAACATTACATTTTAGGCCTGAAAAAAACCAAGTTGTATGCTATTCGAAGACTAAAAAAAATATCACCAAACTGATAATGTTATTTTAAGTGGAACTCAAGGAGTGAATATTGTGTCCTAGAATACCCAAAAAAGGGGAACTATGATTCAGATAAGTCGCAACTAATTTAACCATTAGATTTTTGGAAACAGCTTTACGTGTCGGTTTATGCTTAATAATTGCCTGCTCGTACTTTCAGTGTACAGCATATCAATTTCCCACCTGAAAATTGCTGATCGCGCAGCAGCCCTATGCCATCTGATCGCATATTTCCTTTCCATCTATTGGCTGTGGCTATCCTTAGAACCATCCTTCGATGCGATCAGCAATGACTGGCACTGTGTGCACCACATATAGACGAATCTGAATGTGTCCATGGCTGCGTGCTATTACCCAATGATTTGGTTTTGTGGACCACGTCCTTCCCCACCGTCCCGCCCGCCCAGCCCCACAGCCGCCTGCGCTTTTCCCATGGCATTTGGTCAATTTTTATAAAATTTATGTCTCTTGCTTTGTTGGCCTTCTCCCCAAACACCCCCTCTCCATGCCACAGACGACAGCCAGCGGACGTACGGACGGACAGTAGGACAGTGAGACGGACGGACGTCCGTCCGTCCGCACATAGCGAATGTATGTTAGTATGTATTTACAAAAATATGGTATTAACGCACAAGCAGCGCCTAAGAATAGATATTGTTTTCGAAAAAAGAAGAAAATTTGCCGCTGACGACGCACATTATGTTCTAAAAATAAGCAGCAGTCAGCAAGCAGCCAGTCTCAGTCGCTATGGCAATATCTCTTTTGTCCTCTGTACAGATATGTGTCGGGATAATGCTGACTGATCTGCTACTCTGCGATCCTCCACTCAGTTTCTATCCTTTTCAAGAGAGTACCCGTCCCGCCTCACTCTTGAAAGTTTCTCCGTGTGTGTGTGATCCTGTGCTGTTACATAGATCGAGGAGAGAGAGAGAACAAGAAAGCGAAAGCTTTTGAAAGCTCATCAGGCAGCAACAATGGGTGAGCGGGAGAGAGGGAGAGGAATTGGAAAGCAAGCTCCGTCCACAATTATTGTGGGTGGTTTTTATTGGTTTAGCTAATCGTTCGCTATCCTTGATTTTGAGATGCTTTTTTTTTGTATTTTGTGGCTTGCGAGCATATTTAATAAATTTCATAAATATTCCATAAATAAAATATGCATACATACATACATACATGTATATGTATGCATACGTGCGATATTTTACATATTGAAATATTTGAAATGAAAATAAAATGTTTCGCACGGAAAAACCATGAAAGCATGCCAATAAAATCATGTGTTGAACACTCTACCCCCCCACCACCACCCACTTACCGTCCCACACACCAGCGGCCACCATTCTCTGCGTTTTGGCATGTGTGTGTGTCATGTGTGTGTGGTGTGTGTGTGTGTGAATTGGAAAAGAGTTTTCGAAGCGAAATTAACAATTTGGCTATTTTTGTAGTTATGCGGGGGCGTTTAATGGTTGGGCCAGGGCGGGAACAGGCGCTGGGGGCAGAGCCCACAGATCAGACTCGCTGACAGACAGAACGTTTGGGGCCAACAAGTTGTTGTCGCACACACACATACATATGTATGTGCCCTTTGCATGCGTATGTACAGGGTGACTCCTGCACTGGGAGCGATGAAAAAACAAAAAAAAAACTGACGACTTTTCCTACCAATTTTACACCCAACACACACACACATGGCTGGCTGGCTGGGAAGGTAGTAAGAGGGAGACACTGTCTGAGAGGTCTCTTTGGCGCATACCACACTCACAACAGCAGCAGCAGCAGCAGCGACGACAGCAGAGCAGCAGCAACGAGTCAGCATGCAGAAATGCTAAGCACTGGCCAAACGTAGTCAGCAAAGACAGAAATTGGGTTGCAATAATCCAATGTCAGGTACAGCTTAAGAAAAAAATAAAGTCATCATCAAGGATCTGGATTCCAATGAACCTTTGCACTCATTGTGTACAACGTGTATTGATCTTTGAAAAACAAGCTAAAATGTTTCATCTATAATGGCCCCATTTAAACCACACAGAAGTTTCCATGGAAAGCTACAAAACGCTCTTGGCATTCATTGAATCTGTGCAAGAAAGTAACTTTGATGTATTTGAACCCACTGAGAACCGTTTACTGACAATTTTAGAATGCATACAAATATTTGTAACTAAGAATTTCCCATCGTAAGCATTTCTATATATTGTAATTACTTTTAGAAAGGATTTACTCAAACAAATTACAAAAACGATCGTTAGAAAAACTCGTTTGCTTTTAATTGTAATTCCATCCAACGATGAAACATTCAGTTTTTTATAAAGAAAACCCAAATAAGAAGACTGACTAATACGAGGCAACTCATTCGCTGGGGGCTGACTCGTTTGCCCAGTGCTTCGATGCTGACCGAATTCATACTTTCTTCTGGCAATCGCCAGCCAGCCACCCACCCACCACCCACTCCCACTCGCACTCTTTCTTCGTGTGCGCGGTGGCGATCTTCGGACCCGACCGACCCGACCCAAACCAAAACGAAACCGAGGCGAGGCGATGCGATGCGATGCGAGCCGAACCGGCTCCGATGCTGGGGCGCTGCTGCGACTGCGACTGCACGGTCTCCTCGACGGCAGCGGGCGGTGGCGGCCGCCCCAAGAGTGGGTCGGGCTGGTCGTGTGTACGATATTCCGTCCCCAGTTGGCGCGACATCAGTTTTGAGTTGGCTTTCAACGCGAGCGGGTCTTTTCTCTTCGCAAGCGACACACGTAGATATTCCTCCAATTGTCATTCCACCACACATTGTTTTGTTGTTTTTGTTTGGTTTTATGCACACACTTTTTCGTTTCGTTATAATTTTTTTTTACCGTTTTTTTTCTCGTATACATCTTTTTTTGTACTCGTTGAAATCAATAAATATATAAATACAAAAATTCACAAAAAAAATTAAATAAATAAAAAAATACAAAAAAAAAAGGAATAAAAACCAAAAACCCCAAAAAACTTTTCAACGAACGTATTACGAATACATGCGCTGGTGTGTATTTGTGTGTGTGTGTGTGTGTGTGTGTGATGGTTATATATACAAAAAATATATATCTATATATAATATATCTGAATAAGATATACAGTATATATGGGTGTATATGGAAAGATGAACGATTTGATCTGTCCAAAACGGCCAGCGGGATAATGTGCTACCAACAGAATCGAACTATATGTATATATACAATATATATGTATATATACCGTATAGACAGTCAGTTCCGATTTCCGATCCGGTCTGCATTCGCGCATTCGTAATTTGCGTTGAGCGCGTATTTCTCAAAATTATTTCAAATATGTACCCACCTCAAACCACCCCTCCCGGCCACCAACCGACCGCCCGACCGCCCTCCGCGCCGCCCCCACCCCGCCACTGGCGGTTGACGTTGACGCCGAAAATAAAACTTTTTCAAAACATACTATTTTTAACCGATACGATCCGATGAGATACGAAACGAGCGGAAAATACAACAACAAAAATAACATACAAAAAAAAAAAAAAAAAAAAAAAAAAAAAAAGCTAAACGAAAGCAAAGAAAAGCGAATAAAGCAAGAAAAATAATTAAGCAGCAAATTAACGTGTTATACAACGATTTTTTCCCATTCTGCAGACAATATATACATACATAGCTATATGTACGAATATATATATATATATTATTTTTTTTTTCGGTTATATGCTGAAAAATTGTGTGGTTCCAGCAGAATCCGGGAATCGGTAAAACGGTAAAACGGGAGCACGCGCCTATGGAGCAACCACCTGTCGGGCAGGCCACCGTTCGAACTTCCGTTTGCCCATCCGTTAATCGGGCGATCGATATATCGCTGTCGCTGTCGCTGTCCCTGTCCGTCCCACACACTTTCAGCTCTCATGGCTTTGCTTTCGGATGTGCATAAAAGCTTTCAGGATCTGTAGGCTGAAAAAGATTTTGCTCACAGCCTGACTGTTTTTTTTCGCTTCGTTTCGTTCTGTCAATCAATCGATCGTTCGATCAATCAATCAATCAGCCAGAATACACTCACATACACACACACACACACGCGCATATGCAGAGACCCAGAGGTTGGGAATCTGCACCAGTTAAAGACTGTTATACCCCAATAAGAACTAAGAGCAGAGAAGCAGAAAACAAGTACAGTGAACCAATCGAACCAACCTCTCCATCTCCACCTCTCCTCTCCATCCCTGGCAGCAGCAGCAACTGGATCAGCATCATCTGAGCAGCAAACGTCAGCCGCAGCAGCAGCAGCCGAGCAGCGAGAGAAGCAGCAGCGCCCAGAAGACACACACGCACACACACACACCACCACCACCACAAAGAGAGAGCCAGTGAAGAGAGAGAGTGTGTGCCAGCGAGTGCCAGGAAGAACAGTAAACCCCCAGACACAAGATGATGATGGAGAACGGTCTCTCCATGGAGTACGGAGACGGCTACATGGAACAGGAGGAGGAATGGGAGCGTGAGGGTCTCCTCGATCCTGCGTGGGAGAAGCAACAGAAGAAGGTGAGTGCCAGTGCCGTGCCGGACCAATCTATTCCCCCATTCCATTCCATTCCATTCCATGCCATGCCATGCCATTCCGTCCATTCATCTATATTCATATTGTGGTATATAGTCCCCGTCCCCATTTGCATAGATATAGAACACATATGTAGCATCCGTATATATGTACATACATATGTATGTATGTATGTGCTATATGCTTCTGGCCAAGTTCTATATTTTTCGATTATGTTTCAATATTTCCCTGAGATCCGTCGAAACCAACAAAAAAAACAACTGTGAAAACACAAAAGCTCGGCGCGCATTTAAAAATAGAATTCTCTTGCTTCATTTTCATGGCTCTTGCTCGAGAAATGTTTGAAGATAGTACAAAAATAGTTTGTTGCTGTTGCTGTTGCTGCTGCTGCTGTTCAGGAACTACACACATATATTGTACTCTATATGCATAGGCAACCGTAAATATAGCGAGTATATCTATTCTCATTCCCATTCGATCGTTTATCATTATGAAAAGCAAGCGAGAATCGAATCGAATCGAGTCGAATCTCAAACTGAAACTGAACATCCAATTCCCCCACATTTCCGCTATCTCCACCCACTGGCCGAATCGAACCCAAACCCAAAACCCAACCCAATCCAATCAGAACCGAAGGTTAGATGTACATATAGGCTCCCCTCCCCTACCCATTCAATTATGCTTTTGTTGAGGGGAATGGGCGGGATGGGGGCTGTGCTGTGCTCTTTCATCCCGTTTTGTTTGTTTGCTTTGTGTCGTCGTCGTCGTCGTCGTTGTATGTATGTTACCTGCGGAAGCGTCTGTTACCGTTAACTGTAGGCCAACGCAGCAAGCAGTAGAAGAAGAAGCAAGCAGCAGAAGAAGAAGCGACAGCCAGCAGCCGAACAGCAACTAATTGCCACCGTGCAGATAACGCTGGAGTGCAGATACAAATATCTATATATCTATCTATCTATCTATCTATCGGGCACACAACATGACAAATTGTCATTTGTTGGAGCATATCTTCAGATAGCCCCAACCGACGCCCCAAGGCTGAGTGCTAACACTTTTCATTGGGTGTTTTTTTTTTCTTGTTTTTTTCTCGCTTTGCAAAGTCAGCGATGAGATGCATTCCAACCCACAGATCGACCTGCACACAAAAAGCTACATACATATGTTTATACATATATATATGTATGTATGTATCTATGTACATATAGTATACATACATATTTTAAGCATCTATATGCATAATTCTACAAAATGTAGTGCAAGGCTATGTTTTTGACACGCCGCCCCGTGCCGTGCCTAGGTAGGCGTCGACAAGCAACGGACGGAACAGAACGGAACGGACACGGACACGGCTGCTATTGACAATTAAAAATAGCCAGGCGCAGGCATTCCTATGCACAAGATTTCCACAAGATTCGGCGAGAAAAACCACCGAACTACCAACCCATCCCACCCACCCACAGCGCCCGAAGCATCCGAACGAACCACAAAATGCAATGACAAATATCTGCCCAAAGAAATTAACGTAAAAATGGAAATGAGAATATGAGGATTCTTTTTTTTGTTTTTGTTTTTTTTTTTTTTTGGCGGTCGCCAGCCACAGATGACTTGAGCTTGACATGGTCACACCTGCATGTGTGTGTGCTTGTCTGACAGAGCTAGAGAGAGAGAGAGAGAGGAGAGTGTGTGTGCGTGGCATCCATCTCTACCTCCCTCCCTCCATCCCTCCCTCCCACAATCTTTGTCTGATCCTCCACTCGATATATCTACATATGTACGTGCAGAGGTGTGTGTGTGTGCATAGACATTTCGTAACCGTAAATTACGGAGCAGAATTCGTCATTAGGCTGCCACTGCCACTACCAACTGCCTCTTCTCCTCCTCCTCCTCCTCCTCCACCTACTCCTCGTCCACCTTCTACTATTTCTTCTTCTCCCTGCCTCTCGCTCTGCCACTGGCCAGTGTTGGTTTTGTTGTTTTCAAAAAATGAAAGGCCCCAAAAAAAAAATTAAATAAGAAAAAAAAAAAGTGTTGTTTTTGTTTTGTGTGTTTACATTGATCGCAACAAAAGGTGGCAAAAGGTGGGTGGGTGGGTGTTTGGGTTGGTTGGTTGATTGGGTGATTGGTTGATGATGAGTCTTACTCTACCCCTTCCCCTTCCCTTCGCTTGCCAACTCTCTCTCGCTCTCTGTTTCTCGCTTTTGTGACTCATCATTCCTGGCAGTGGAGTGGCCGTGCGGTTTCGCGCTGTGCTTATGGGGTGTGCGGTGGGTAGGATCACAGTCACAGGGTTGCCACCCCTTCCTCACCACCACCACCACCAGAGACGCAGACGCAGACACAGACATAGACAGAGGCAGGTCCACAGGCCGTCCCGCCGACTGACTGGCCATGTGCGAATGAGTCCATGCTATGGGCCCGCTCAAATTACACTCGGCTAAAAATGGGTGTGCAAGAGCGAGTGCGTTGCTGCCAAGGAGAGCTTTTGGCGAAAGCTCTGTGCGCGGCGCGGCATCTAAATTAAAGAAGCAGCCACATGCATACATATATTTATGTATGCATATGTATATGTATTCATTTATTTTATTTGCTTGGTTTTTTTGGCGCGTGCGCATTGACTTGGCTCGCGATTGCTCAATCGATCGATCGCCTGGCCAAGATCATAGACCAGACCAGGCCAGGCCAGGCTAGGCTAGGCCAGGCAACTTTGAATGCAGCTTCCCCACCGATCCCCCTCCCACCAAAACCAGGCCTGGCCAGGCCACTGCCTGATAACGGTAATTGATCAGAGACGACGCTGAAAACGGGTTGGCGGAATGCGCCAGCCGCCAGCCGTCAGCAGAGATAGCGAGAGAGAGAGCGCCAGTGGCATGGGCAGAGAGTGACTGAGAGAGAGCGGAGTGGAGTGGTGTGGAGTGGAGTGGAGGAGATTCAAAGACGAGCCTAACTAGCGGTAAGCCGCTTGTTGCTGCTGAGCGACTTGTTTGGCGACGAACTGCAGCAGCAGCAGAGCATCAAAGCAGCTTCACTCTGACACACACAAACACACCATACACACAAATGCATACGCTGGCGCTGGTTGTTGGCCTATTTATACCCTTGCAGGGGGAATTATGATATTGACCAGATGATTGCAATGCAGCGAAAGCAAATCAACAACGAATAAGTGTCCTCTGTGCATATGTACATATGTATGTAAGTGCTTTATGCATACATACATACATACATATGTACATATGTAGGTAAAACTTGAACGAAAATGTTTATCAAAAAATGGAATATTAATTTATTTCAATATTAAGCATAATATTAATATTAACAGTAATTAATAGAACTCAGCCCCAGTCAAATGGGATGTACATATTTATGTACATACAAACATATGTACATGTATGTATGTTGTAATATTTCCAGCTGTACGAACAAAGTTCAAGGGTATCCCCAATGTGTTTCTAATTCTTGCTTTCTTTCTTTCTTCCTTCTTCAACATTGTTAGGCCTCAACCCACTCAGGGAGAGCTGGCGTGGTAGGTGGTAGGGGGGTAATGTGTAATCTGTCCCCACCAACCGTTTTGATCGTTGCGTGTGTGTGCCCTGTGTGTGTGGGTGAGCGATTTGCATTAACAGTTGCATTTCTTGTTCTCGACTCTCTTCGCTCGCTCTCTTCTAAGCCAGCAGTCACCGGTCCACCAGTCCACCAGTCGAACAGCATCCCCATTGTCTCACGCACATAACATAACTGTACGCTAATGGCTAATAGAGTCTGCTAGTCTACCTCCCCCCCTCCCTTCACTCTCTTTCTCTCTATCGCTCTTTCTCTGTATGTCTCTCTGTTGAATCGCATCGGTGGATTTGTCTGCTTGGCTGCTAGCGGTGATCCATTCTTATTGGCATCCACGCATTGGCATCTACATATGTACATACATAAATATATCACCACGGGGATTTCCTTTTCAACTCCATTGATTCCATTCACGGACCTCCCTCCTCCTCCTACTGCTGCAAATCGGATTCCCGAACGAATCCCGAATTGTTCTCTTCAGTTCGGTTTGGTTCACACTTTTGAATGGAACCCCCCAATTCCCCCCCCAATTCCTATATTTACATACTATTCCCATAAAGTGCACTCAGCTCAGCTCTGCTCTGCTCTTCTCTGCTCTCCTCTGCTCTGCTCTTGTGGTCTGTGGGCGGATCACACGACCCAACCATATGGACATTAAGCTCCAGCTTTGGCTTTGTCTCCCATTCTCTCCGCTCAGAGAGCAATAACAATGCAACAGTTGTAAATTTTACACGTGAAACGAGGAAGTCTTGTGGAAGTGTCGGAAGAGGGAAGCGGGAAGCGGGCAAGGGGAGAGCAAGAGCTGTAGACTCCAAAAATAATGAAGTGTGTGCAAAAAAAAAAAGAACTGGTTTACATTTATATGCATGTGTGCATGTGTGCGGTGTGTGTGTGCATGTGCATATCGGGGGGACACATGTATTGGTATTGGTGTTGTATTTTTTTTTTTCTTTTTTTCTCTTTGTTCTGGCTGATCTGTCCTCTGTCTTCGGTGTCTGTCTGTTCCCATTCGGTGAAAAATAACTGCAACTGTCAGCCTCTGTTGCAGCAACAACGAGAACAAGCATAGTGCAACAGCAGCAACAACAGCAACAGCAGCAGCAGCAGCAGCCTCAGTGACAGTAGGCCCCACATCAGGTGAAGGCGGGAAAAAGTAGCAAAGTAGTGGGGAGATCTCATCAGAATCGTCAACCCAACACAACCATCACAGAGTGGTGGCCGCGCTCTGAGCAGACGTAGACATTGCCCCAAATGGGCTGGGAAAGGGCTGTGTGGAGAGTGCGGCCCGAGTGGGATCTGCCTGGAAAATATTCAATTAAAAAATGTGCCACCCAATAGATTTATGCTTTGAGTCTGAGTCGCCCGTCCAAAGGTTCTAACTCATGTCAGCACTCCCCCATTATGAGTAATCTATGCCCAAACTCTCCTTAACTCTCCTGCTTAGGCAATTCCTTAATCCTTTAAAAAAAATAAAGAATCCTGTTGCTCTAGTAATCATTGATTTATTTATTTATTTTTATTTCTAAACGCACTTTTCATAGACATTTACCGCCTGGTGTAACAGTCATCTGCGCAAAGCTGGCACCGCCATCGACAATATCGATGAGGACTTCCGCAATGGCCTCAAGCTGATGCTGCTGCTGGAGGTGATCTCCGGCGAGACGCTGCCCAAGCCCGATCGCGGCAAGATGCGCTTCCACAAGATCGCCAATGTGAACAAGGCCCTCGACTTTATCGCCTCGAAGGGCGTGCATCTGGTGTCGATTGGCGCCGAGGAAATTGTCGATGGCAATCTGAAGATGACACTCGGCATGATCTGGACAATTATCTTGCGCTTTGCCATACAGGACATCTCCGTGGAGGAGATGACCGCCAAGGAGGGTCTGCTGTTGTGGTGCCAGCGCAAGACGGCGCCCTACAAGAATGTCAACGTACAGAACTTCCATCTGTCGTTCAAGGTGCGGCTTAGCATAATAATTAACATTTAAGGACACATATATAATCAATCCCTCTCTCCTCTCCTCTCTCTCTATCTGCAATAGGACGGTTTGGCCTTCTGCGCGCTCATCCATCGCCATCGCCCAGATCTGATCGACTACGCCAAGCTTTCCAAAGACAATCCATTGGAGAACCTGAACACTGCCTTCGATGTTGCTGAGAAGTATCTCGATATTCCAAGAATGTTGGATCCAGATGGTGAGTGGTCGGGTCTAAGGTCTAAGTCTAATCGAACCAATGCGGTTCAGTTCGGGGTGGAATTGGGGCTATATGCATAATGTAAGACTTAATTATAAGAGATAGGATGGGCACGTATTAATTGATATATATTAAAATGAACAAAACAATGACAGATTTGATCAACACACCGAAACCGGATGAACGTGCCATCATGACGTACGTCTCCTGCTACTATCACGCCTTCCAGGGAGCCCAACAGGTTGGAAATGTGACGCATGTACCCGAACCCACAAGACAATACACCTACGTCCCGAATAATTACAATGTGACTAAACTTCACCACGATACACTTAAATATATATATATACTATATATATATATATATGCATACATATATATGCATATATGTATATATTCATTACTCGTTCTAAGTATATTCTGCGATTTTGTTGCCCGTTCGATGCAGATGCCATGCCATGCGCCCAGCCCCCTCCCGCCCTGTGCCAGGCGGCGGGGATATCGCCTCAAAATTTCGCTTTCACATACATATATACACCCGATATATGGAATTTAATGTGTTGTTTTTTTGTTTTTTTTTCCATTATTATATTTTCCCATTTAATTTCTTGCCCGAAATATTCGTTCGTTGTCCTGCATTATGCATTTTGCATCCGCAACTGTCCGCCACCGTCGTCCACCGTCGGTGATAACTCAATTTCCCTACTAACTGACATCAACCTCCCCGTGGGGAGAGCTGCCCAGGCCAAAGATTGGCTGAGAGAGCGACCTCCTGCCTACTCTGTCCCACTTTTTGGCTCTCTTTGGCTTGCTGCTGCAGTGTGACCCTACCTCTTGTTAAGTTAACCCAACAAAAAAATTAACCTCATAAACAGTTCCGTTAGCAGCACATTCACATTTGGAAGCAGCGGCTGAATCAGCTAACGATTTTCCCGTTCACCAGAACAACTTGATCCCTGATCAGTGATGGATATCCAACGATTAGTGATTATGATGCATAAATCAGCAGTAAAGGAGCGTACAAATATAACGATAAATTTGTTTGATACATTTATGATACATTTCTATTGTCTTATATCGATAGCTGTTAGCTATCGATAAGAAAAAGCGCAGTAAATCGTAGCGCAGAAGACCGTAAATGCAGCATATGCGTTCAATAGAACTCAAAACCATGATACCTTCTGATCATGATACGTCCTGATACATGATCACTGATCACTGCCTATAATAATGTCAACGTACAGAACTTCCATCTGTCGTTCAAGGTGCGGTGATATCCACTCTCTCACTCTCTGTGATAACATGATCCCTGATCACTGATCCATTCGCTTATGGGAAATTTGAGTGTGCTCTAGTGAAACAAAAGTATTATAACATAAAAACGGGACTCGGAACTCGATCCACTGCCTGCCACAGAGCGCCGGAGTGGGTCGAGTGTCCGACAGAGTCCGTTGAAGGCATGAGACTACCCAGTAACTAAAACGATATACCGATATGTTAATGTTAATGTTGATGATGATGATGTGATGATGATGACGATGCCTGCCAAAGACTAACACCAAATTATGAATTAACTCATTTTGTCTGTTTGTTGCATTCTCTCTCTCCTCTCTCTCTCTCTCTCTTCTCTCTGTCTGTGTGTGTGCGCGCACCGCTCGCCTCTCCGCTCCGCTCCGCTCATCAACAACAAAACGCCATTAACAACAACAACAACAACTGCAACTTCAACAACAACTGCCAAATTCCCTACCAACAAAAAAACACACACACACACATGTCACACCATCACACACACACATACAGATTTGCAGAACACGGCTCTGCCCGATGAGCGTGCGGTCATGACCTATGTATCGTCGTACTATCACTGCTTCAGTGGCGCCCAAAAGGTCTGTTGAAACACAAAAGCAAAAACAAAAAAACAATAAAAACAAAAAACCAAAAAAAAAACAAAATACACAAGTACATAGCACCCCCGCCAACCCCGTCCCAACCTATCACTTTTTGAGCCATCTTTCTGCCTCCCTTTTGCTGTCTTACTGTTCGATCGGTTGATCGTTGTCTCTCCATGAGATATATTCTTATCTCCATTAGACATACCCGTACACACAGCCGTACATCAGAATACAATACATAATGCCATATACATAATCCTAATGCTTTAATAAAATATACATACATACATACATACACACACACATATGTATGTATGTGTACTGCCTGCGAATGGCTTGCTCTGACAGGACATCGCTTTAGCCATCAATGGAGCAGCTTTCTTCTACTCCTGCTGTGCGAGAGAGAGTTTGCTTCCCTTTTTTATTTACTTTGTTTGGAGCGGAAACCCATGAAAGATTGCAGAATCCAAAATCTATATAGAGTAAATGTTGCCAGCGATATATAGCGTCCGTGTGTCCGTCCATCTGTCTGTCCTGTGGCCCGCAGGCATCGAAAACGGATCACAAATGTTTTTTAAATATTTTTAAACTCTTTTTGCTCACTCTATAGTTTTTGTTTGTTTTATTTTTAGTGACAAAAATTCATGAAATTATTTAATACGAAAATTGAAAGCGATTCTAACGAGTTCTCTACGAAACCGTAACCCTTGGGTCCGTATTTGCGTCCGTGGCAGTTTTTGCAGAACAGTTCCTTCTCATGCTCGGTGCAGTTTGTGGAGTCCAGAGCCTTGTTGCATATGCCATGCCCTTTTGTGATTAAACAGAAAGGGGAAAGCGAAACGTTATGGCATGTTGCTCCAGATATCCATAGGATCGAACCGATCGTTCGATCGATTCAGATTGATGTTTATGGATTCTCCCAATACCTGCTGCACTTGAAGCATGTTTTATGGAGCTTGTAGCCAAAGCCAAACTGCTGCTTTCAATCGGTCTTGTACCGCCAGAAAGTCTTTGCTATTTAATGATTTTTAAGGCATAATATTCGTAGTACAGAAAGGAGACTCCTTAGAGACTAACTAAAGCCTCGGCAGGCAGGGAACTTAGGCGCTCTCTTTCGTTTTCTTTTTTCTCCTTACTGCTTTCTGTTCTCTGTTTGTTCTGTGGTTTGCTCTCTTGCTATCGCTCGCTCTTGCTTTATTATGTTCCGTTACGCAACGCTCAGGGTGCAGCCATATCTCTGATCTCAACTCAACTCAGTTCTCAGTCCCGAATCGAGGAAACGGAAACGAAAGTGCAAGAGAGAGAATGCAGATGCCAGAAGATGTGGCTGCCACTGAGCCTGGCTTTGAGTTTTTTTGCTGTTTTTTGCTGTATTTTTTTTTGCTGTTTTCCTGTTCCTTTGTTCGTTTCGTTTTCGTCTCGTTTTGCTTTCGACAAAAAATCTGAGTTGGTTCCGTGCTTCACACACACACGCACACTCAGAGCCGCCCCAGTGCCGAAGTTTTCTAATGAAATATCTTTGATCCTCCCCACCCACCCCCCAACCCCCCAAAAACCCCCCCCCACCGAAATCCAATAGGCGGAAACGGCTGCCAACCGCATCTGCAAGGTACTCAAGGTCAATCAGGAGAATGAGCGTCTCATGGAGGAGTACGAGCGTCTGGCCAGCGATGTAAGTTGCCAAAATGCAAACCCATTCCTTTCCTTCCCTTTATCCATGCCCTTCTTTTGTTTGTTGTTGTTGTTGTTTGAAATAGCTGCTGGAGTGGATACGCCGCACAATGCCGTGGCTGAACTCCCGCCAGGCGGACAACTCGCTGGCCGGCGTCCAGAAGAAACTGGAGGAGTATCGCACGTACCGACGCAAGCACAAGCCCCCGCGTGTGGAGCAGAAGGCAAAACTCGAAACCAATTTCAACACCCTGCAGACGAAGCTGCGTCTGTCGAATCGTCCGGCCTACCTGCCCACCGAAGGAAAGACCGTCTCCGATATCTCGAACTCGTGGAAGGGTCTCGAGCTGGCCGAGAAGGCATTCGAGGAATGGCTGCTGGCCGAGACCATGCGCCTGGAGCGACTCGAGCACTTGGCCCAGAAGTTCAAGCACAAGGTAAGTGTCCCCCCCGTTCCCATTTGCATTTTTTGCATTTTTTATTCGTACTCATCCAGGCTGATGCCCACGAGGACTGGACGCGCGGCAAGGAGGAGATGCTGCAGTCGCAGGACTTCCGCCAGTGCAAGCTCAACGAGCTGAAGGCCCTCAAGAAGAAGCACGAGGCCTTTGAGTCGGACCTGGCCGCCCACCAGGATCGCGTTGAACAGATCGCCGCCATTGCCCAGGAGCTCAAGTAAGTCGCCAAGTCCAAAATGCCATGCATAAATCTAATCAATAACCAACCCACCCCCGCCTGCTGCCCCCTGCCTACAACGGGCAACGTTGAATCTGCGCGTGAAGTGTGAGGTTAGGTAGAAGCCACCCATCGATCTCGATCTCATTTCCAGATCTGACATCTCTTAGCACGACATTCACATTTGCTCAATCGAACCTCATTGACCTCATTCGAGCCTCATTCTCTCATTGATCACACACTATCACACCTGATTGAACACGATCTCTCATGATCACCACTGATCACCACTACTGATCGCATTGATCTCACTATCCTGATCACACACTGATCCTACCCTGATCACCCTGATCCTGATCCTCCTGCTAATCCAAGATCAATTATTAAATCAATACGTTTCTCGTTCCACATGCAGCACCCTGGAGTATCATGACTGTGTGTCGGTGAATGCCAGATGCCAGCGCATCTGCGATCAGTGGGACCGCTTGGGTGCCCTCACTCAGCGTCGGCGCACGGCGCTGGACGAAGCGGAGCGCATTCTGGAGAAGATCGACATCTTGCATTTGGAATTCGCGAAGCGTGCGGCACCGTTCAACAACTGGCTGGACGGGACACGCGAGGATCTGGTTGATATGTTCATTGTGCACACCATGGAGGAGATCCAGGGCCTGATCCAGGCGCACGATCAATTCAAGGCGACGCTCGGCGAGGCCGACAAGGAGTTCAATCTGATTGTGAATCTGGTGCGCGAGGTGGAGTCCATTGTGAAGCAGCACCAGATACCCGGCGGTCTGGAGAATCCCTACACGACCCTGACCGCCAACGATATGACCCGCAAGTGGAGCGATGTCCGCCAGCTGGTGCCACAGCGCGACCAGACGCTGGCCAACGAGCTGCGCAAGCAGCAGAACAACGAAATGCTGCGCCGTCAGTTCGCCGAGAAGGCCAATGTGGTGGGTCCCTGGATCGAGCGGCAGATGGATGCCGTGACGGCGATAGGCATGGGCCTGCAGGGCTCCCTGGAGGATCAGCTGCACCGCCTCAAGGAGTACGAGCAGGCTGTGTACGCATACAAGCCGAATATCGAGGAGCTGGAGAAGATCCATCAGGCCGTGCAGGAGTCGATGATATTCGAGAATCGCTACACCAACTACACGATGGAGACGCTGCGTGTCGGCTGGGAGCAGCTGCTCACATCGATCAATCGCAACATCAACGAGGTGGAGAACCAGATCCTGACACGCGACTCAAAGGGCATCAGCCAGGAGCAGCTGAACGAGTTCCGCTCCAGTTTCAATCACTTCGACAAGAACCGCACCGGCCGTCTCTCGCCGGAGGAGTTCAAGTCCTGCCTCGTGTCGTTGGGCTATTCGATCGGCAAGGACCGACAGGGCGATATGGACTTCCAGCGCATCCTCGCCGTTGTCGATCCCAACAACACTGGCTACGTGCACTTTGATGCCTTCCTCGATTTCATGACCCGCGAGAGCACCGACACCGACACTGCCGAGCAGGTCATCGACTCCTTCCGCATCCTGGCAGCCGATAAGGTGAGTCTCCAAATCTCTCTGAGCATGATACAATCTAATTCACCCTTTTCTCCTCTCCCTCTCTCTCCCCTTAGCCATACATATTGCCCGACGAACTGCGCCGCGAGCTGCCCCCAGATCAGGCTGAATACTGCATCCAGCGCATGCCACCATACAAGGGCCCCAACGGAGTGCCCGGTGCCCTGGACTACATGTCCTTCAGCACAGCTCTCTATGGCGAAACCGATTTGTAAGACCCCCGAGGCTTACGCAGCCCACGCGGATACGAGAAGAAGCCGAGCCGAGCCGAGGCGACTTGAGCGGAATGGAGGAGCAGGAAGGAGCAGGAAGAGGAGCTGTGGCCAGATCATATAATAATGCTAAACTCTAATAATAATAATATTAATAAACATAGATTTATTATACCTACACTCGTAACGGTAACTTCAGAAGAACTACAAAGAGAGAGAGAGAGAGAGAGTACCATCATGAGAGAAATATTTATAGCTTTTCCGTCTCGAACCGATGATGTGAGTGGGTGCGGACCATGCCCCAAAATCCTACACCCCAAAACACCAAACACCACACACCACATACAAAACAAAACATACATACAATACATACATATACATATATATACATATCTCCTCTATATATATATATATCAAATATATATTTTTATGCAGAATCTTATCGATTGTAAAACACACACAAAAGCAAAAAGCAAAAAGGAAACAAAACAAACAAATCATCGCAAATGCAAATGCAAATGCAAATGCACATCGAATGTCGAAATTTAAATATAAATTTTAGTAAAAACCAAGTCCAAAAAACATAAAACATAAAACAAAAACCATACAAAAAACTCTAAACAAAAAACAATATTTTTTTGAAATTTATGTTAATAAAAACAAAATCCATACATAAAAACCAAAAGCAAACAGCAAAACAGCAAAAAAAATAAAAAAATCCATGCAAGGAATGGCAGTACAGATCGCATAACAACCAAAGAATGAAAGCAAAAGAGCGAGAGAGGACTGGCCAAAAGAGAGGGGGCAGGGGTACTGGTAGTTAGAAGGAGATGGCACTAGATCAACATACATACATACATATAACGGTAATCGTTAGCAAAATGCAGAGAGGCAGAGAGCTAGAGGCAATGCGCCTCTCAAGTTCACCAGACAGACAGAGATGGCGATAGCTGGCTTTAGAGCGAGATAGAAAATGAGCAGAGAAGTAAGTGAGCGGAGAAGGAGGACAGTTACAATTATAACAGTAAAAGAAAGGAAAGAAAAGAAAGCAAAACAGTTCTGTTCTAATATATTCAATACAATTTATTTATTGTAGCCCACTATTTATCCATCCGACAACAACAACAACCAAACAACAAAACCCAAAAAAACTAAACACGTATATATTCTCACATATATTGATTGGTTTTTCGTTTCGAATTTTGATTATCTCGAACAATTTCACAATTTCAGATTTTTTTTTTCGTTTTAAACTAAAACTAATCGAAAAACTTACACCCACACACACACACATGCAGACATGCAGAGAGCACAATACGAGAGAACGATGATGAGAGAGAGGAGGAAATGAATGAATAAAGCGTTTATTTGGTGATATTGGTGTTTCGATAAACAATTTTTTCTGTTGCCCCCCACCAACGATCAATCAGCAATCAGTCTCTGGGCCATACGCATACGTGTCCTGCAGTTGGGTGGAAGGGGGAGGATCGAAAGAATAAAAATACGCATTTTGGGCATTCTTAGCTGGACATGGGAGGAGTTTTATTTCTCGATTTTTGTTGATCTTGTTTTGCTTGCGTTTAAAAATAATTTGCATAAATATGTATGTATGTATGTGTGTATGCAGGTTTGCAATTGTCATCTCTGTGTCTGTCTGTCTGTGTGTGTGTTTGGTTATGATTTTTATCAGCTACAACGTACAATATATATAACATATACACTCACAAAAAAACACCCATACATTCTGGCACACCAACAACACACGCTCTTATAGAATCTATATGTATGTATGTATGTATGTATGTATGTATATAACCAAGTTCGTTAAAGGCAATCAATTGAGTGTGAGTCCTGGACTGATGTGTCCTGCTGTGTTGTGTTGTGTGTTAGAACTTCGTTCTAATTTCTGTTGCTGCATCCAATTGGCAGGGCAGTACACAGGACAGGGGGCAGGGCAGGGCTTTGTTTCCTTGGTTTCTTGTCGATCTTTTGTTTGTTTTTGTTTTGTTTTGTTTATCATTATCAATAGACTTTGCTCGCTTTATATATAAATACTCGTGTACATTTTCAATGTTCAACAACAACAATTGAATTTCTCATAGTGTATAAATATATCTCTAATGCTTAACAGGCTAATTTACATTTGTATTCTCGCCGCACTCTCTAAAATATCTCTTCTCTTCCTGCACACATATATATATTTTCTATATATTGTTTTACGTTTTGTTTATTTGTGTGTTGGTTTTTTTTTTTAGTAAATTTGTATGCGTTTTTTTTTTTTGTTGAAAGCTTTTCAATTTGTCATGAGACATGAGAAAATTAATTCGATTGATCTCCCCAACAGGCCCTTTCCTTCATTTTTGGGTATCTTAGGGAGCTACAGCTCTAGAATTCTTCGAATGGAACATCATCAACACCAGAGGATCAATTTGATTGTTTTTTTTTTGTTTTGTGGTTGATTTCTTTGTTTTTTGTTTTGTTGTTGTTTGTATTATGTATTTTAGCATTCTCATGTTATGTGTATATATGTATGTATTTGTGTATATGTATGTATATGTACAGTCGTGTAATAATTACCATTAAAATCTAAAATTGTGTTTGTGTGTGTGTGTGTTTGTTTGAGTGTGGTAAATGGAAATTAAAAATCGATATATATTTATATAAATTAGGAATCTACCTACACACACAAACAACGAGCCAATCGTTATACACAATACGCAGACTATTTCTTTGAATGCACTTTGAATTTAATACAAGTGGCACGAGTGGCACGAGTGGCAGGCCATTTCGAGAATCTTTTCCCAAAGTTATTTTTCCATTAGTTGAGCCCCTGGAGCGCTGCTTGGGATAACGATTAGGCCGCCATTTGGGCAGCGCATAAGATTGATATTTTTTTTTTCATACTCTTAAATATTAGCTTGGGTGTGTGTGTGTGTGTTTACAATTGAGTGTGGGTGTGAGTGTGGGTGTGTGTGTGTGTGTGTGTGTACCACCTTTTTCTACCTCTAACCACTTGGCGCTCTAGCAATTTTGGTATCTATAATACACGAATCGCAAGTGAATGTGCTGCTCGTTAAATCTAATAAAAAAATATAGGATATCCTAGAGTCGATTAGAGTATAGATAATAGGTAAAGGTATTGTTTATATATTCATATATCTAGGGCCCTAAACACTATCTGCATTCGTGTCAGTTGCTGGCACCAGTTGCTGTGACTGGAGTGAAGCTCGAGTCGAGACTCTCGCACTTCGTCAGTTCGCGAACAAACAGCCTAATTATTTAGTTGTACTTAAGTCTAGACATATTCGTAGCCGTATATCTCGTTTTATACACAAAAAATGTTATGTACTCTTTCTTCTTAATCACTATCTTGATTTTCTCCGTCTCCTTCTTCTCCTCTCCTCTTCCTCCTTCTGCTTCAGCTTCTATTCTCTCGTCTCGTCTCGTCTCGTCTGATGTGGTTTTCTCTTCTGATTTCCATCTCCATCTCTATGTTGTGTTCTCTGCATTCAGTTTCCACTTCCATTCTGTTGGACTCTACTAATCGTAGTCCTACGGAATGGGATTTCGACTGACGGTCGACAGAGTGCAGACCGAATGCTGTTTACTCAGTTCTCACAACTCACAACGTGGCACAACTTCTCAACGTACAACGTGGCAACGTGCTCGCCATCACTCTTTGGACGAGCTCGATGAGTCGCCACCACCCTGCGGTATGACAATCAGGCTCTTGGGTATCTTCGATATTGCATTGTCGATCAGCTTCTGCTGCTGCATCTGCTGTTGCTGCTGTTTCAGAGTGAAGGCGGCACCAGAGCCTGGGCCAGTCTTGAGGCTGCTGCTGCTACTGCCGCTGCTCAGGGTAACCGTCGAGGGCTTGGGCGTGAGGTGGGGCATCTTGCTGGTGGGGCCTGCATTGCCGCCTCCGCCGTTGCCATTCAGAAGATACTGCTTGGGATCGGGGAAGTTGTTCCACAGCCAGGAGCTGTTGCTGCTGCCGCTGCCGGTGCCCTCTAGACTGGGATTGATGTTCAATTGGGGATGGCCCTGGCTGGCTATCTGCGGAATGTTCAGCGGCGGCATGGGCTTGGGTGCCAGGCGGGCCAGTCGCCCCGCACCGCCTCCTCCACCCGGCTGGAGTGTTGGCATCTGCTGCTGCTGCTGCTTCTGTTGCTGTTGCTGCTGCTGCAGCTGTTGGAGCTGCTGGCGAGCGGTCTGCTGCTGCTGGGCCATCTTGACAATGTTGGAGAATGCGGCCGCCGAGGTGGCTGGATTCTGGCCGGACTGCGACTGTGCCTGGCCGGGCTTCGGCTTGGCATTGGACTTGAGCATCTGGTCGCGGAGCAGCTTCTCCCGCCGCAGGATGCACATGCGGTTGTAGTCGAAGATGGAGATGAGGTAGGGCTTGCCGCCGGACTGCACTTGGACGAGGGCCGGCAGCCGTCGGCCATCGGCTGTCTGGTACAGGGCCTGCGACTTGCTGGGTACGTGGTTTTGATCCTCCAGCGGTATCAGGGTTGGCTTCCAGCTCTTGCACTCGTGCCGCTCCTGCGCGGTCAGTGTTTCCGGCAGTATGACCACGTTCGGCGGCGCCGGCAACCCGCGACTGCCTGGCACAGCTCCAGCTCCTGTTCCCGACGTTCCCGTTCCAGCCATGCCAGCCGTGCCAGCCGATCCAGCCGTTCCGGGCTTCTGCAACTGCAGCCGCCTGCTGAGATGATTGCCCATCAGATTGGCGCCACCCGGAGGCATCGCACCAGATGCGGGCCCCCCGCCGGTCGTCCTTCTTCGCGCCAGGCTAATCAACTCTGGCGGCGAGTTCAGCAGCTGGGCCACATTGGCGGGTGGCTTCGAGGACGCTGCGGATGCCGCTGCCTGCTGCTGCTGCTGCTGGTGCAGAATCAACGGCTGTGTGGTCGGCTTCAGCTTGGAGTGGAGGCCACCGCCCAGACGGGCGCTCACCTGCTGGTGCTGCTGCAGGTGCTGCTGCTGATGCTGCTGCTGATGCTGGGACTTGCTCTCGTTTTGACTGCTAAGCAGCTTATTGGCCACATCGAGGATCTTGTGCTGCTTCTCCTGGGCGGAGTGCGAGACGGCGGCAGCAGGGGTCTTCGAGCCAGTCGTGCCAGAGTGATTGGCGATCAATGAGGCGGAGGGCAGGCTGGCAGAGATGGGCAGCGACAAGGAGAGCGACACAATCTCCACGGCCTTGTTTATCCCCAGGAGGTTGCTCTTGAGGATGCTCCGACTGTTGGCGCCGCTGGTGGGCACCAGGGGAGGGGCATTCTTGAACTGGGCAGGACACAAGGCTGCCGTCCTCTGGGTGCCGGTGCCCGTGCCCCCATCCTCGGGTGACGACGCCACAGACGACGCTGAGGAGATCGATGCCGGCGACGAGGCGAGTGCGGCTGTTTTGGCTGTAACTGTGGCTGCGGCTGTGCCTGTGGCTCCGGATGCGGTGGTCAGCGGCACTGGCTTGTCCTTGGGACGGGCGATGATGGTCACCGCATTCGAGCTGAGCTGCTTGGTCAGCTTGTCCACCGAGACGGTGGTGAGGCGTTCCAAGTGCGAGCTCAGGACCTCCTTTGGGGATCGCTGGCCCTCGCCGTCCTCGTCATCATCGTCGTCGTTCAGCTCCACCAGCGGAATGAGGGGCTCTCCCTGCCCGGTGTGGTCTGCAGATTGGCTGGCGTTGGCGATGGGCGTGGGCTGCAATGAAGCCGAAGATGAGCCCGGGGAGGCGACTGCTGTGGGCCGCTTTCCCGCTGGGTTGCCCCCGTAGGAGTGGCCGTGATCGAACGAGTTCAGCCGCTGGCGCACAGTCTCCGTGTAGACGGTGGCATTGGAGGAGGCTTGGGCACCCAGGACCAAGTCCCCGTTGCGATAGTACTTCTCCAGCAGGATGAGGTGACGCAGGAAGGAGCTCTGGTTGCCGTACGGCTTCTGCAGCTCCTCCCAGAGGCGGCGCGTCGGCTCGTCGTACTGCAGAAAGGTCTGCACCCGCGTCCAGCCCTCCGGCGTTCGCTGGCTGCTGCTGCACCCAAACGGCACCTTGAACTGCAGGCCCATCTCCTCCTCGCCGTGGAAGAGCTCGCGCATGGAGATGTTTGGATTGCCGCGCAGCACATTCGATATGTCCGGATTCGCTGCATTGGAACTGGCCGAACCCGCCGATCCGTTTGCAGCTCCTCCACTGCAGCTGCCGCTGCCACTGCCACTGCCAGCGCCACTGCCACTGCCACTGGCCAGACTCTCGCCAGGCAGATTCTGCTGCAGGATGGCCTGCAGCTTGGAGATCTGCTTGCTACTGCCGGCTGCCGATCCTCCGATGGCCGTGATTGAGGAGCTGCTCGAATTGGAGTCCGTGGGACCGTCAAAGTCCACCACCAGCGGCATCTCGGCGTCCTCGTGCGTGGAGGCGGCTGCACTTGTGGAGGCAGCGGATGGAGCATTGCGATCAACCGCCTCATCCTCCGCCTCGGACACCTCGTTACTGGCATCCTGCAGATTGTGCACCTTGAGAAGTCTGTCCGGGATGGGAATGGCTTAAGAAGGCTGCCCATAAGGAAGTGCAACGGGCTCGGCTCGGCTCGACTGGGACTCACCTTTTGCGATAGTTCTTGACAAACTCGGCCTTCTGGGACTTGGTGCTGTCGGGGGGCTTCATCAGGAGGTTGGCAAAGTAGCGGCAGAGCTTGCAGACGGCGGTGCCCATGCCCAGCTGGACGGGTATGCCCATTTCTGTGAGCGCCTTCTCCAGTCGATCGGTGTCCTGCTGGACAGAAAGCACAAGCGCATGGATCAGCAAGGGATCAAAGACAGGACAGGGCAGCACTCACCGTGGTTATGTTGTACATGTGATTCTTGCCCAGCCGCCGCTTGCACAGGACACAGCCGGTGAACTGAATGAACGTGTTGTAGTGGGCCTCGCACAGCCAGACGATCGAGGTGCCGGCGGGTATCTCGAAGCTCAGCTGGAACTTCTTAACGCTCTTGCGGATGCACTTGCGCCGCAGCTGATGGCCGGCCGTCTCGCAGCAGTCCTTCACGGCGCACGAGCGCTGAGCGGCGGCCCCCGCCGATGATGTCGATGGGCCCAGTTCGGTTCCGTCTGTGGCCACTCCATCGCCCGCATAGTTCTTGTCTAAATTGGAACCGGATGCGGAACCCCCAGGGCCGCCAGGACCACCCGTTTCCAGATGGCCGGGCGCCGACAGTCGCTTCTTGTTGTAGGGCGCCGCATTGGCACGACGATCCACGTGCCGAAAGCAGGCATCGCACAGGCAGTTGTCCACCGTCAGTTTCTCCTCATCTGAAAGATGGGGAGGGATATATTAGCATTGCTTTGGATTGGGATCGGTCAGGGGTGGGATGGGGTGGGGAAACGCACTTGCTAGGATCTTCTGCTGTCGCTCCACCGACTTGATCTGGCCCACATGGCAGGGCGTGTCGTACAGACCGAATTTGCCGCTGCAATAATAGCACTGGTCCTCGCACAGCCGCCCGGGATGGAACTTGAACGAAGAGGCCTTCTCTGGTATCAGTATCTTCTCCTTTTCATCCTTCTTCACCATTTGATAGAAGCCATGGTCCATGCCATGGCCACCCCCATGCCCCTCCGATTGCGATGAATCTGAATCGGAAAGAGAATAGAGAAGAGAAGAGAGATCCTCTGGTTAGCCAATCCATCACGAGTCTTTCTGTCTGTCTCTGTAGTTGTAGCTGTATCTGAGTGTATGCATCTGTAGCTGTATATGTATATGTATCTGCGTCTGAGTGTATGTGTCTATGTATATCTGTTTTGTGTTTATGTTCGTCTGCTGGATGATATGAGCGGCGGAGATGAGATGATCCGCCTAAGCGGATTAGGAGCAGTGGAACGGAGTTGTCATGATGAACGGATGAAGGTTCAGGGAATCAATCCATTGCCCAGAGCGCAAAGGTGAATACATTTTAATTACAAATTAAAGCCTCCATCGGAGTCAGTGTTGCCAAATCAGTTTGCTGCCAGCTAATTAAAAATATCCCAGCCATTTGCATACGAACATTCCCGCGCACCAATCGTAACTTCGATCAGTCATCGCCCACCAACGAATTTCCTTCCGGCTTTCATCCACTCACACACTCAGGCAGCGCGAGTCAGCCTTCTGGCTGTCTGTGTGTCTAGCATTCGGTTTGAAAATATAATTTATGTTTTAAGAGATCGGAAACGCTTCGTTCTGGCTCTTGCATACATCTCTAATCGAATTTAATTGTATACCCAATAAGCAATTTGTTTAATTTGTTTTACACTTTTAGATTGGCAACACTGATCGGATCGGATCGGAACGGAACGGATTGCATTCGCTGGATTTGATTCCCTGAAAGAGAGAGAGAGAGAGAGTGCAGAGAGTGCAGAGAGCAGACTGCACGCTGAAAACCAACCCAGGAGAGATCTATGCTGGAGCGCACCCAGGTGCTTGGCTACCGTCGAGTTGTGGTGGTTGTTAGTCGAACTGAAACGGTTATTGGTCTTTCGGCCAGGATTACCCGACGCTATATTCGACTTGGTCGCACCTTCGTTCTGCAAATAAGAAGGCGGAAAATAGACACGAGATTAGACACTGCTGCTAAGGGTGGGGCACTGCACTCACCTCGTTCTGTATGGTGTAGTACGAGTCTTCGACGTGGACGCCATGTTGGTCCGCAGAGCGATCCGCTGATCCATGGCCGCGGGCGCGACCCTTTTGGAATGTCATCTTGAGGGATTGACGGCGTACGCCGTGGGCGCCAGAGCCTATGCCTGACCCTGTACTGCCGGCGGCGCTTGCCTTACGCGTGGCACTGCCCATCGAGGAGGAGGACGAGGAGCCAGAGGAGCCGCTGCCGTGGATGACAGTCCCCGTGGGCACGCCGCCACTACCGCCGGCTCCCCCGTTGCTGCTCCGATTCAGCTTGATGACAGTCTTCAGTGTTCCGCTTGACTCGACGTGGATGGCGGTGCCTCCCGATCCCGATCCAAATCCTGCACTCGATCCCGCTCCGGTCAGGGCCGTCGAGCGTCGCTTGCCGCTCGGATAGGGCTGCGGATGCTGTTGCTGGTACTGCGCCTGGCGCGTCTGCGCCTCCTGCAAGTCCTGGCGCCGCTGCTCGGCGGCCTGGTGCGTGAGGAGGCCGAGATTATGCAGATGGATCTCTTGATCGCGCCGCTCTTTCTCATCGCACGAGAGTCCCGTCTCCTGCTGGCCATTGGCTTCTGTACTGGGCGTGTATTCCAGCGGCAGGGACAGGGCCGGGGGTTTCTCTTCGGACTGCTCCTTGTGGTCCTTGAGGGCCTTTAGGCAGATCTGAGAGGCTGGCGAATCGTCTGGATCCGGATTGGGCTTCGGCTCGTTAGCCATGATGGTCGCTAGGGGCTTCTCCTCGTCCTCCTCGTCCTTGAGGGTCAGCTGAATGTCGAGACCGTCGTGACTGGATCCCCTGGGGGATGCGCTGGACATGGACAGGTTCTCCTTGTTCTCCTCCGGAAAATCGTTCTCCAGGTGATCCGCCATCAACGGCAGCGCCTCCTGTGGTTTCTCTTGCTCAGAGTCTTCCACTGGCTCTGCTGCTGGTTCCATATCCACATCCACGTCCATTTGCACCTCTGTGTCCGCATCTGCTGGCTGCTGGGCTTTTGTCGGGGATTTCTCCACCTCCATGACACGTAGTTCGGGGGCAATCTCCTCCTCCTCCTTCGCGTCCGTCGGCACAGGCAGCGGCGGCTCTTCATGTGCCACCGCCGGCAGTTTCTCCCCCTCCACTGATCCCTCGGGATCAGCAGTAGCAGGATTAGCAGCATCATTCTCAGTCACTGGATCAGCGACAGCGTCGGCTTTACGGCTCAGCGCATTGCCACTGGCATCCACTACGCCCTCCTTGGCCAGCTCCTCCATAATCTCGTGATCAAAGTCGTCGTAGTCGTCCGACTTCTGCTCCTCCTCCTCCGCCGCATGGCCATCCTCCTGCCCATCATTCCCGTTCACGGCAGCGTCATCCGTGGGTCGCAGCTCCTCGCTGCTCTCGTCCAGCCGCAGCGCACCCGCCTTCAGGGAGCTATTCGAGTACGAGGAATCTTCCAGCGCAGATTTTGCTTCTGCCTCCACATCCACATCTGCCTCGGGTTCCGCTTCCGCCTCCGGTTCTGTTGCGGAATCTCGCTTCAGCAGCTTCAGCTCCACCTCAGTTTTCGCTTCTGGCTCCGCTTCCGCTTCTGGATCAGGCTCCGATTCAACTTCAGCTTCAGCTTCCGCTTCCACTTCCACTTCCACCTTCCTGTGGCTGGCTATTTGGACAATCTCCCCCAGCTCCGGGTCCTTCTCGATGCCCAGATTGTTGGCCAGGAACTTCTTGTAAAACTTGACGCTAATCATGTCGGGACTGAGGGACGACGCCTTGCCAGCCTCTCCGGATGCGCAGACGGACCCGGAGGCAGACTCCGACTCGGACTCTGGCAATTCCGTCGACTCCTGGGGCGACTCCTTCTGCTTGATCTTATCAGCATCCGCCGGATCGGCGTCTACGGTGAGCGGTTCAATGCAGGAGGCTGAGGAATGACCGTTGGCCCCTCCGCTGGTGGTGGAGCCCTCATCCTCCATGGCCGTCTGTGCGTCCTTCAGCAACCCCACCACAGGATCCACTGGCAGGAGCAGGCTCTCATCAAAGTCCGGCGTCTGCTTCTCCAGCTTGATGTCAGCGGCGGCCAGCAGCAGATCGTCCATGGACGAGGCCATGCTGTCCTTGGAGTCCTCGTCCCCACCGCCATGGGAGCTGGTGGCCAGCGAGCTGGCCGATGCAGTCTTCCGTGTGGTGGAGCCCACCCGTCGCCGCTTGGCCATCAGCGGCTCAGCAGCAACGGCCATTCCCATTCCACCCGGCGATCCCGCCTTGCTCAGACGTGTGGCCCGCGTGCTGGTGGACGCGGCAACGGCTGTGGCAACTGCTGCTGCTGCTGCTGCGACCCCTGCTGCTCCGGCATTCTTAGTCTGTGGTCGGCCACGTCCGCGTCGTCCTCCTGAGGTTGGTGTTGGAGCGGCGGGGGCGGGGACGGGTGTGGTCGCTGGAGAGATTGTATCCCTGTCTGGGGGCTCCTGCTTTATCAGCACAGCGCCCTTTGATGGCTCCTCGCCGGCGTCCACGGCGTCGTCGGTCTCGTCTTCGGGTTGCGGCGGCGGCTTCACCTCAATTTTGCTGTACTTTGTCGCACTTTCAGCGTCGTCCTCGGAACGCTTCCGCTTGCTGGCAGGCTCCAGGGGCGGGGGGACCACCGCCTGGGGCTTCCTGAGACGGCGGCCGCGTGCGGGCGGCAGCTGCTGCTGCTGCTGTTCGCAGGAGGCGACCGTCGAGGATTGGCGACGATTGCGCGTAACGCGTGTGTTGTTGGCCTGCTCCTGGGCGTGTGACTTGCGGGTGACACGGTTGCAGGTTGGCGTAGGTGGCAGCTCTTTATCCTTTTCCTTTTCCTTGTCCTTCTCTTTGTCCTTGTCTTTTGTGTCTTTGTTGTCTTTTTCATCGGCTGCTGGCAGGGATTCCAGTTCGCTGCCGTCGATGGCCTCCTCTTTGACTTGCACTGGCCCCGATCCAGGCCCATCCTCGAGCTTGGCGATGGCTTCTTTGGCTTCTTTCAGATCCTTAATGGACTTGCGTCCGCGAATGACGGGGGCAACAACCGAGCGCTCCACCGAGCTCTTCCTCTGACTGCCCGACGACTGCCCCGACGACGTACCCGACGGCGGCGGCTGCTCTTCGCCATCTTCGCTGGCCTCCCGATGCCTCGCGGTTGTGGATGTGGGCGAGCTGAGCAGCAAGAGCGGCGACGAGAGACGTGTGATTCGCACACTCTTGCTACCCAGTCCATCGCTGACAATCGTGGGCGTGGGTGGCTTTGTTGGGGACCACCACCCCCTCTGTGGTTGGGGCGGGGGAAGACTGGCCCCGGTCCACATTCGTATTCGTATTCGCATCCCCGCTGGACTGTTCCGGCTCTCCTGCCTTCTCTCTTTCCCCTTCTCCATCCTTCTGCTCGGAAGAGGGGGATGTGGTGCCGGCTCTGGCTTGCTCCTCGCCAGTTCTTGAAGACTGTTCCTCGCTGTTGGCTGGCAGGATCACAGTGGCTGAGGTATTCGCAGTGTCCTCTAGGACGGCTGCGGTTGGGGTGTCCGCCTTGGGGACGGCACCCGTTGTGGCTGCGGTTCCTGGCTTGCGGCTCGACATCCTTGACGAGCCGGTGACGGAGACGCCGTCACCTAGCGCAGCTGCTGCAGACGTTGCTGCTCCTATGATGCCAGCTTCTCCGCCTCCTCCTGCAGTGGCTGCTGCGACTGTAGCTGCTGCTGCTGCTCCTGGCAATCCGATGCTGATTGTGTCCACTTCGAGTCACAGTGAGTTGGTCCCATTGGTTGACTTGGATTGATGATGTGGAATTCCTGCAATAAAAACAGAACAGAAACAAAGCATAAGTCGATTGTGGGTCAATTACTAATACGCCATGTGGGCTTAGGGCCCACGAATGGGATCCTCTGGTGGGGGCTACACCCCTGCTCTTCGTCGCAAGATGCTGATCTTCCTTTCGGATTCATTCGCTCACTCATCCGCTCGCTAATTTGATTTCCTTTTGGTTTCTGCCTGGATCTCCGATTTGTGATTTGTGAGGTTATGTGGCAGCAATCGGATTGATCCTGAACGAGACCCGACGACAGAGGGCAGTCAGCCCGAAGCTCAGCCAACCAGCCACAGCCAACCTGCCTCTGTGGCTAGAACATTAAACATGCTTTGCAGTTTCCATACCCCCCATCCCCCCCACCACACCTCAGACAATCTCGCACTGGCATAGTCGTAAAGTCGAAAACAAGTTTTGGCAGCAGCTGGAACTGCGGTTGCGAGAGAACGGAACGGAGCGGAGCAAAGCGAGAGAGAGCGGAGAATGTGAGGAAAGCGAACCAGAAGCTAAAGCTGAAAGAAGAGTAAGAGCCAGAGCTAAGGAATTGATGGGCACATTGAGTAATCCCCAAATTGGTTTGGTATCCTGCTGTTGCTGTTGCTGCTGATCCCCACAACCAAAGTACATTTTGACAGGCGCCATTTTGGTGTGGCCAGACTAGCGCAAGCGAATAATAGTCAGAGCCACAGGCACAGGCTCTTTCAGGCAGAAGGAGAACATTGCCACAGAGCGCCAGAGGATATATTTCAGTGGAAAGGCGACCTTCACTTTAATTTTTACGTTTACTATTTTTTGTTTTTGTGCTGCTTGTGGCTGCATTCTGCACTGCTTTGCGGAGGAAATCGGCCTCCATTTCCACACAGCCACGGATTTAATGACACACACACACACACACAGATATACTGACGCTCTCACACACAAACAAACACACACATTATTAACTGAAGCCATCGCCACCACCCTCTGCAGAGCCGAGCAATGAAACGATGGTGGAAAGCAAGCATAAGGGGAAAATGACAGTGACAGCAGCAGCAGTGATGAGGAGACGTACCGTACTGCGGGGCAAGCAGCAAGCCGAACGACAACAAAACAGACGAATAAAGGAAGTAAAAGCGAATCGCAAATAACAAAATGAAGATGAAGTATTTAAGTGTGTATACACTATTATGTAGAATGCACGCACACCACAGCCTGAAGCGACGGGAATATTATACATAGCCATAGCATAGCACTCTCGTATACATGAAGTGTGCAAAAAACGTTCGCAGGGCAATTGTAAACACTGGCCACACTGGCAATACGAAGAGCGGCGAAATGATCACAGTGGGCCAGGCCAGACCGTGCCGTGCCGGGCCAGGCCAGCGGAAACTGGCCCAAGAATTTTCACCAAATGGAAAAGTTGTTAAAGAATTGGCAGAGTTGCCAACAGTTGGCGAGCAATCGTCCGCCTCGGCAACTCTCGCACAACACACACAAACAGAGAGCCACTCACTCACTCTCGCGCACAACACACGCACACAGACAGGCATGCACGTTCGGCCAAATGAAAAACTGTGGAAATTGTGCGGACCTAAGGGTCGCCAAAGAACAGTTGCGAAAAAAAAAAAACAAAAAAACAAAACCAAAAAAGTAAATGAAGCAAACTTTACAAAATTCGCTGTTTTCTTTTCAATCTGTTCTCTTCTCTGCTACAACAACAACAAGCATGACGCGCGAACGGAACAGCACTCACTTGTCTCTTTCGTTTCACTTTTGAATTGCTTTTCGCATTTGCTTTTTCATTAAAGCCGAGCGGCAGCCGAAACGAAACCGAGCCCGAAAGCCGAACGAAACAAAACCAAACGAAACACAAACGCAAACGCGAATACTTTACCTACTTAATGCTCTTTCTGTTCAGATGTCCATTTGCGAATTTTCCGCATTAATTTTCACTGAATCGATGCGACGACGACATTCCCCGTCGGCGCGACAGAAGGCGCCAACTCCTGTGCTGAGCCGATTTACGAAGAAACTGCACCCAGGCAGGAGCAGAACAAACAAAAAAAAATAATAATAAAATAAAATGCAGAACCCGAACCGAATGAGTTGTGAACGCAAACACGGTGTGAAGCGAAATAACGAGGCAAAGCAGAGAGCAAGCAAGAGAGCGTCGTGCAGCGAGTGGCCCGATGGCGGCGAAAATCTTGTATTCGCCTCGCCGCCGCCAGTCGGCCCAAATCAATGAGCAACACCCACTGACAGATACACTTTTCCCAACGCACAAGGGGATGAATGCCTGTTGATACATACATATACATATATGTGTTAGAGTTTGAGTGTACTCTTTGAGCGCGCGTACCCGTTATCCGTTTCATGATCGCGCCACTGTAGGGCATTCATAGGTCGACCTCAACGCGACCGGCTGTCTGTTTTATTTGGCAAATGTTTGTTGGTCTCTCTCTCACTCTCGCCGTCTGGCTCTCATCTTATCTCGCCGTGACGGCTGCTTCGTCTTTTGTTCCGTCGGCAAAGGACTCAGACCGGACTGGATCGCGGGGCAGTGGGTAGCATCTGGGTAGCGAAATAATCAAGCAAAATTTCAAATTGTTGCTTTGCTCTCGTTGCCCTGCAGATTCCCGGCTCCCTCTGATCATCACCACCCACATTCACATCCGATGCTCTTGCACGGTTTCTGTTTGTTTTTCACATCCTGTCAAGCTCATGGGGTGGGGGGGAAAGGCGCCGAAGACGTGCACGTAGACATGTGCGTAAAAGGCGCCTGTCACTCGCCTGTCTTCGACAGAGAATCCTGCAAGTGTCAGGTGGCGTCCTGCGTCGAAACATATCCACCACCACCCCCTTATTTTACAGTCATGGACAAAATAGGAGGAATGGTGTGGCGTACGTAACTGGGTTAAAGTCAAACTTAATTGCCAAATAAACGGCGACACTTGGTGGCCAATGAAGGGCAAAGGGAAAATCAATAGCTTTGCATCGCGTTATTATGCACTGAATGAGGAGAAAGAGAGAGCCGAGCCGTTGGCGTTAACAATGTCATTGGTCTCTGCTGGCCGCATGCATATTATGTACATAATGTACATACATACCTATGTATATGTCGTGGAAAATGGCTTTCCCTCGAACTGGGTCAAGTGAAAGGCAGGCAGGACGGCGGCGATTGAGGACACGCCAGTTTTTGATGGCAGTTCACCGCCCACCTGGCTAATATGCAATGACATCATCAATTAGTCACGTTAACCACGACAAAAAAATCCCTTAGATCGATTGTCCTGTCTGGCATGGGCGCTCCCAATCCCATTTCCTGGGACTTTCAACTTTTCCCATTTTGAATCACTTTTTCAACGATGATCCTTTTGCATAGACGCTTTGATTTTGCATTTGATTCCATGGAAAATATGTCTTTAAGGCATTTCGCCTGTAGGTTGCTCCGCTTTTTGCAGTACGCCCACCCATTAATTTCACCTAGAAATTATTTGTACGCTCCGCGAGACACATCTACTTGCAGAGAAACTCACACACGCTTTGTCTGTGAGGCGGGGAGTGTGCCTGTGTTGTGCCAAAGGCAATTGGAAAACGAAATGGCCGACAAAACGCCACGCAGCTACATGGATAGATGAAAGACAAGCAAGGGGCAAGCAGGCAAAGCACAGTAGAGTGGAAGGCAGAAGCAATGATAAGAGGTCGGGCGGGGAAATACGGAATGGGCGATATATGGGTAAAAAGAAAACTTCCGGCAAAGCCAAAGCTCGTCGAAATCGACTAAGAGCAGACAACAATCGACCAAGATACACTACATACAATCATAAATCAACGCACACAGGCAAACATATGGAAACCCACGTGAATCAGAGAGGGGGACAGACCAGACCAGACTCGCAATCGTAAGAACAGAGAGAGCCACCTATGATCGCGGCGAATTCGCAGAGTTTTCTTAAGCAAAGCATTTGTGGCTGTCTTACATTATTTTCCTTACTTCTCGCCCTGTGAAAAGCCAATGGCATTGGTATGTGTGCCCACCAACACAAGTACACCGAAAAAACAGTTAAAACTAGCACGCAAACAAGGCTTTTATGGGTACTCAACCACACGTACATATGTATGTACATATACACCAGCACAGCACACTCCATTATTCTCTCTCTCTCCTCTGTCTTTACTTCGCCTCTCTTTATCGCTCTTCTCTTTGTGGCGCAGCGTCATTCTTTTTTACGCCATATTGAATTATTGCCGAGAGCCATTTGCCATTTGCCATTTTCTTTGGCTTTTTTTTACTACTTTTAGCAAGCCTACGTCAGATTTATTGCTTGGAATGTAGCAACCTTAATGTGATTTAACTGTTTTATGCAAAAAAGCTTACCCAAACACAGGGTTTTAAGGCTAAAATAGCTGTGGAAAATTTTCCCATTGCCAAATGTCTTCCTTTCTTTGTTTCTCTTGCCCACCCTTTCGTAAGTGTTTGTGGGAAATGTTAACATATAAGTTTGACCCTTTTAGAGCGTCAGTAATATGTTGGGATACATGCAATGATAATATATAGGCATATAAGCATGGTATTATTATTAATAGTCGAATTTTATTTACTTTAAGATCAGAGTGCAAAAAGTGGGCATGTTAAGCGCAACAGAGATATGTTAGGCCTCTGTTACGCCAATCGATAACACGCGTTAGGGAATTTTCGTGGCATTTTTGTGTCATTTCTCGCAGTTGCGTTTTCACCGATTTTATTTAAATCATTAATGAAATGTATCTTAAACTGGTGTCTATTGTTTATATATTCAGCATCTGCGCTGGTAGCTGCACTGCGAGCAATGAAGAAACCTCCATCCTGCCAGAGGGCTATGTGGATGCCACCCAGAGATCGACGCACACCAACAACTGGGCTGTGCTGGTGGATGCGTCCCGGTTCTGGTTCAATTACCGGCATGTAGCCAACGTCCTGTCCATCTACCGGTCTGTGAAGCGCCTCGGCATTCCCGACTCGCAGATCATTCTGATGATAGCAGACGATATGGCCTGTAACGCCCGCAATCCGCGTCCCGGCCAGGTCTACAACAACGCCAACCAGCATATCAATGTCTACGGCGACGACGTGGAGGTGGACTATCGCGGCTACGAGGTGACCGTGGAGAACTTTGTCCGCCTCCTGACTGGCCGCACCCAGAACGGTACGGCGCGCTCCAAGAAGCTGCTCTCCGATGCCGGCAGCAATGTTCTCATCTACCTCACCGGCCATGGCGGCGATGGTTTCCTGAAGTTCCAGGACTCGGAGGAGATAACCAGCCAGGAGCTGGCCGACGGCATCCAGCAGATGTGGGAGAAGAAACGGTGCTGCCCTTTGCTAAATATTTTGTAAACCGTTCATCAATTAATATTTTCACTGATTGCAGCTACAATGAGCTCTTCTTCATGGTGGACACTTGCCAGGCCGCCTCGTTGTACGAGAAGTTTAGTTCGCCCAATGTCCTGGCAGTGGCCAGCAGCCTGGTGGGGCAGGATTCGCTCTCGGTAAGAGGAATGCATATGAAAACAATGTTTTGACTATCTCGTCTGGTCTCCTAACCTCACAGCATCATGTGGATCCTTCGATTGGTGTGTATATGATCGACCGCTATACCTACTATGCCCTGGAGTTCCTAGAGAAGGTGCAGCCATTCAGCACGCGCACCATTGGCGAATTCGTAAGTGTGGATGGATTCGACTCTTCACTATGCTACGCCCTCCTTTCTGTTTTTACAGCTGCAAGTGTGCCCCAAGCGTGTCTGCATTTCGACTGTTGGCGTGCGTAAGGACCTCTACCGACGCGATCCCCACAAGGTGCCCATAACGGACTTCTTTGGCGCCATCAGGCCCACACGCGTCTCCACGGACCGCATCAATGTGACGCTGGCCAACGAGAGGTATGCCTAAGCGTACAAATATGTACATACAAGTATTACAGTGAGTGCTTCTCTCTTTCTCTCTCTCTCTCTCTTGCAGTGACTTTATTGCCAATCCGGAGGATATTTCTGTGACCAAGAGGCAGTTCAATATCATCATGGAGTCGCAGTTTCCGTCCGAATTTTTCAAATGAAGTGAGTGAGTGAGAGAAGTGAATCGAGAAAGACCAACCCAGCAAGCAGAAAAACCAAAAAAAGGCAGATCAGATTCATCATTCATGTGATAATATTAATTTTATTCGTAAATACATCATTTCATTATTAATACATGTGTAATTTATTAAATTTATATGTGATCTCGAATCGTGCTTTAAAAATCTCAATTATGGGCTTAGTTTTTTTTGTTCGTCTTAGTTTTCTGTTTTATATTTGCTAACATTTTCATTTCATTTCATTTCATTATCATTCTTCGGTTCGTTTTCCTTGTTTGTGTTTCTTATGCATATTACATCATGTTTCAGTTAAATTATATTTTGGTATCTACTATCAAACGCTCCCTAATCAATCAATCAATCAATCAATACACCAAGTAACATTCATATCAAATCCAAAAAAAGAGAGTAAACAAAAACCATATTTGTATACTTATATAAAAGGCGGGGGAGGAATCCCCCGCATATGTATGCGTATTGTATATAGAGTTAGAAATCCACACTAAAAACAAAAACACAAAAAAAAAACAAAATATTAACAGTATTCTACTACTCGTACAATATATAATTAATTGTTGGGTTTCATTTTGTTTCGCTTTCGCTTTTCTTTGCTTCGGCTTCGTTTTGAAATTTTCTAATTTGGGTATTCACAAATTCAAAGAGTTAACAATGGCCGCCAGAAGCGATCTCCAGCATTTCTCCATCTATCTCCCCTTAGAGCCCCGTACCCTACTACTCCCTTTTTAGCATATGGAAGGATCTACTTCGATTTTATATTATTGAATTCATTTATCGCCTCTTTTCTTTTCTGTTTTCGTTTCGTTTCTTTTTCTTAAATGAATGCACACACACATACCATACATATATCAATACACGAGTACATATACATTTGTATGTATGTACCACTCGTATTTACTCGTATGTTTGCCATAATTATATTTATTTCTTGATTTTATTTTTGTTTTTTTTTGTTTTTTTTTTTACTTTTTTGTGTGTTTCTTTTTTGTTTTTCTTTTTGTTTCATTGCATCAGTCCCATAATTTGAGTTGTAGGCTGGGGGTTTGTCCTCAAGATCAAGATCCAGATTAAGCACCATTAGAAGTTCGTATTGCATCCACGTCGTTAAACACTATTGGGACTATGGAATATCGATCACGGAACACGAGGGCAGGGGTGCATTGTGAGGGGTGGTTTTATTTGGGACGGGTCTGCGTCCGAATGGGGCATGGGGCATGGGGCATTGAGTTGCATTGGTGTGGAGTGGAGCGGAGCTGAGTGGGGTGTGTCTGTGTGTGTGGGTGGGGGCACAACAGTTATATATGTATGTATGTATGTAGTTGTAGTTGGTTAGGTAAGCGTCGCCTGGTGACTGCAACTGGTTATATTGGGTGCTGACCGGGACTGGGACTGGGAGTGGTTCTGTCTGTGTGTCCGTGTAAGTCTTTAAAATTAGCTAACTAATGTTATATGTATGCATGTATGTATGTATCTTGAGATGCCAGATGGGGAGAAAACATACAGAATTTGCTCTCTCCCTGCTCCACTGATCGTTCTGCTTATGTATTTACAAAGACACTTTCGGGGAGCAATCCGGGGGGGGGGGGCATTGGATTGTGGATGAGGATGTGGATTTGGATGTCTCTTGGATGGCAGGGACATACTAAATAGAATGGAGATGGGGGAGGCTATGGATGTTGGTTAAAGGTTAGAGGAAACGTCTGACTGGCCATGGCTTAGCTGTCCGCTGTCCTGTCCGGTCCTGTCCACACTTTCATTGATTCGAATCTCGATTACAATTACAGTTTTTATATCTAACACTTATTCGATAACACGCTGTGCAAAAATATTTTTCATTTTTCCCATTTATTTTTTTGTTTTTTTTTTTTACTTTTTATCTACTTTTATAATTTTTTTATTTTTAATTTCGCTTTCTCTCCATCTCTCTCGTCAGATGCTGTTATCGCCGCCACTTTCGTCTAATGCCGTTTTAAACTCTACAAAAAATGTTAATCGCCTGCCCCGCCCGACTATCCATCCATCTCTCCAGATCTCCTCTCGTACTCGTTATTTTTCGTACGAACTCGTATTAATTAATTCGCTTATGAAAATTCACATATATTTATATGTATATGCATATGTATGTATGTATACGTTATTTAAATATTCTTGCTATTTGGTATTTCGTATTTGATTTTTTCATTCTTTTCTTTGTTTTTTTTTTCCATTTGTTTGCTTGTAAAAAAACTCACTACAGAAAAAAAAATCAAAAATAACATTTGAAGGCAATTTGATGTCAGACTCTTTCTTAATTTCAATTTCTTTTCATTTTTTTTTTTTTTATATTTCTCGTCATTTTTTTCATCTTTGTTTTGGTTTTTTTTTTTTTTGGTTGGTATTGGGATGTTTCCTATCCGTTCTCGTTATCGTTCTCTGTCCCTTTCTCGTGTTCTTTTCATTATGTTTAAGTGTGTATAATGAGTGGTAGATCGATAGGGTGTGGCTGAGGAATCCATGGGTTTTACTATCTATAAAAGCTATGGCCAAACAACTTCGCAATAATGATCTATAATTCAGTTCTAACAGACTCTGTTCTACGATGTATATGTTTCCTTTCTTTCCGTTTCAGGTTCATTCCAAGTACAAAACAATCAAAAACCAAAGCCACAAAAAAAACAGCAATATGGCTGGGGGGACCTGCACTGCATCTGAATCGACCGACGCCTGCCTATCTACCCCAAAAACAATTTCTAGACATATTCGGTGTATACTTTTTGGGGCATTCAAGTGCTGCACCCACTCAGGAGATACTGCCATGGGTATCCATAAATACATAGATATCACATCTAGGATTAGTGCAGAATTATCTATTTTAAGATTTCCCCTTGTATATATCCTTGACTAGCAACGGCATTCCTAAAATAAACGGAAAGACAAACAAATCATTTGAATATTTTTCTCATTCGGTTATTGCTGGGGTGGAAAAAGGAGAATTTCATGGGGCCAGTCTCTCTCTTTCGACTGTTCCAATACAAGGTACCATATATGTTTGTGTAACGGATAACGGATATATTGACATATCCGATTCCTAACAGAAAATGAATTGGTTCATCGCCTGTAAGCGGGATAAATCCTCTGTCTAGTATGTACAAATCCGATCTCTAACACAGTGCGAGCAAGTGCGGTCGTCAATGGACGGTGGGGTTCCGGGCAGGATGTATACAAAAAGAAAATATAAAAATAAATAGAAAAGAGCAAATTTTTAAGAATTACATTTATTCAAAAATGTTGTTAAAAAATGTATACAGACAGCAAAAAAAATCAACAAAATTAATACATTTACAAAATAAAACGTAGTACGACGATATCGATAACAATCCGGGCATCAATATCGCCATGGGCGATAGGCGAATAGGGGGGGGGGGGGGGTTACACGACAGCACGATTACGAGCTTAAAATTGCGTAATCGTCATTAAAAAAAAAAAATCCTTTGCTCTTTGCATTTCTTGGTTTTTTTTTTGTTTTGTTTTGTTTTCCTTAGTTTTTCATTTCATTTCTTTCAGCTCTTTCAAAACATTCACTTTTCCTCTCGTATTGTATTGTATGGTCTATGCGTAATTTATGTGTATTATCTATACATATGTATGTATATATCTGTATATAAATACATATATACGAGTGTATATATATATATATATATATATATAAGTGTGGATGTGTGTATATATGTATGTACGTATGTATATTAAAAAAAAAATAATATGCATAATTAGATCTAGATTTATGTGTATGTTGTGTATGTGTGTGTGTGTGTGTGTGTGGGTGTTGGTTGTATGCATACATTGGGTATATCCTATATGTAAAATCGTGATTATGCGTTCTTAACTTAGGTATAGGTATAGTGTGTGTGTGTGTGTGGTGTGGGTGTGCTCCTCCTTTCTGCGCATATTACACATATATATTTATATATATATAGTGTGGGTGTGTGTGTGTGTCTCTGCCACCCCACTTTCTCACTTTCTCACTTTCTCACTTTTTTTTTCACCTTCTCGCTCGCCCTCGCCCTTTTCCTTGCCCACGCCCCCTATTACGCACACACAATACGATAAATAATCGGGCAAATGTGTGGGTCAAACTAAGATGCAATTGCTGTGGCAGCATATGTACCCCCAAACATATATAGTACATATACTAGTAGTATATATAATAGTATGTAATCTAGTATATATCTAGTATGTATGTATATAACATGTGGGGAGGAGTGGGGCTGTGGGGAGTGGTGGGGAGGGGGTACTAACAACATTACATATTATACTCCTCCCAGTGTGTCAACGAATCGGTACTGTGTGGTACTGTGTGTGATCTACTGCGCTCCTATGGAGAGCCCACCCACCCGGCACGGCTCCAGCTCGGCTCTTGCGCTGTTCGCAGCTTCATCGATAATTTCTCTACTACAACGGCCTTACAAGGATTGATGGACAGACACTATGCTACATGGACTCTACTATTTATACTTTATGTGGTTGGTTTCTCATCTCTCGCTACTTTCTTCGTTCTCGTTTCTCTCGTTTCTCTCTTTGCTCTTTGCTCTCTTCGGTTTTCTGTTTTCTGTCGGTGCTTCACCATTTTACAATACATACATATATATTTCTAGACTTTACATAGATAAAAAAAAAATATATATATTATTATCTGACATATGCACGCATCCTAAATGCTCGGCTATAGCTGTGTGTGGCATTGTGGCTACATAAACATTAAATATTCAATTACATACTCGTTACATAGTACATACTCGCTACATACATCTCGTACTCTCGTACTCGGTATTCATAGATGTTAACACATTTCGTCCAATCTCAATGCTCTCTATTCTCCTCTCTTATTCTTCTCTTCTTCTCTGTCTCTGTCTCCTCCTCCCCGCAGAGCTGGGCAAACAATCAAAAAAAAAAAAAAATGATTAAATGATTAATTCTTGAACACTCCACTTTTAGGTTAGAACTTTAGCTCTGTGTGGGGTGTTTGGTTGTGTGGCTGTGTGCATTGTGAGTGAGGATCAATGATTTGTTGTATGTATGTATGCGGGATATAGTACAGGGTAGTCAATAGATCGATCGATCGATCGATGTTCGGGGGCGGGCTGCTGGCTCCATAGAAACCAGACTACCAACCAAAATACACGATACGACAGACAGACAGACAGACATTATTGGGTATGGGTGAGGGGGGTCTCTCTACATTATGCATGTAGCAATAGTAATGATGGTCATTGTATTGTAAAAGCTATAGTAATAGTAGGTAGTAGGTAATAATAGTCCATAATCAATGAATATGAATCCATAATAGGCTAACAACTAATAGTTAATGATAATCGTAGGCATATAAGCATATAAGCATAATCATAAGTGGTAATCATATCATATCGTAACCGTATTCATAATAATATTCATAATCATATATATCCATATCCATAATCATAATCATAATCATAATAAAACATGCTCTACGTGTACGATTCTAAAATAATTCAGTCATCAGGTAACATTGTTTTGAACACAACTACAGTAACAGAAGCTGAGGTCGCGGGCGTGCGCTGGTGCCCACGTGTGGGCGTGGCAGTGGCAGTGGCTGTGGCTGTGGCAGTGGCATTCCTATTATTATTACAATTATTGTAATTCTTGTTGCTGTTGTTGTTTTTGTTGCTGTTGTTGTTGCTGTTGGTATTGGTATTGTTTTGTGGTGTTGGTGTGATTGCTGTTGTTGTTGTTGTTCTTGGGGTTGTGGTTCTTGTGGTTCTTGTTGGTGTTGGTGGTGTTGGTGCTAATGTTGCTTGTGATTGTTGTGTCGTCGTCGTCATCATCATTCCTGTTGCTGGCGTCGTCGACACGGCAGTCCATTGTTGTTGCTGCATTGCTGCGCGAGATGATAAAGAAGTCGATGCTGCTGCTGCTGCTGCGCCTGCTGCTGCTGTTGTTGATGATGATGATGATAATGGTGTGGCAGTTGCTGTAGGAGTTATCTGGGGTGGCATGGCACTGTCCATGGAGCAAGGCAGCTCATCATCGGTCTGTGTGTGCATATCGGCAGTGTGGATAGCTGATGTTACCACAGCAACACTTGCTGCTGTTCCCGTGCGCAGGCTGCCACAGTGGCCGTTGAGCATCCGCGCCGATGTTCGTTCTGGCAACGGTATTGGATAACAACAATGTTACGGACCACAAAGCTCACAATTGTTTCTGCTTACCATTTGCCATCTGACTTTGGCTCTGACTGTGACCCAGCTTGTCGCTCAACGTCGCTGTTGCTGCTGTTGCAGATGGCAATTGCTTGGCTATTGACGTTGCCATGCCCGTTACCGCTCCCAATCCCATACCCATACCCATTCCCAATCCCAAACCCAATCCTTTTGTGGCAGTGTTGCTTGTAAAATTGATTATCCTTCTGGGCAGTTTCTGTTGCTGTTGCAACGCCAGCAAATGCTGCTTCTGCTGGCGTGCGGTGGCAATCTCACTTAAATTGGCCAATGTCACCGCCGTCTTCAGCACGTGGGCAGGTGTCGGTGACGTGGGCATCGTCTTGCTCTTGGTCAATGCCGTCGATACCTTCGTGGCAGTTCCAGTTGCTGCTGCTTCCGCAGACGTTGTGGCTGGTATAGGGCGATGTGACATTAAGGCCGTTTGTAGAATTGATGTATATTGTTGTTGTTGTTGCTGTTGCTGTTGCTGCTGCTGCTGCTGCTGCTGCTGCTGCTGCTGCTGCTGTGGTTGTTGTTGCAGTTGTTGATGCTCAAGTCTTTTGTTCTCTTCTAAACTGTTGCCGCTGCTGCTGCTGCTGTTGTTGCTGTTGTTGCTGTGCGAGTAGTCCATGGCAGTGTCGTTGGCTGTGGCCGATGATCGTGCAATCTGCTCGGCAGCCGCCGTGAGGGTGGCCAATGTGGCCGCTGCCCCACTCAGCAGCGAAGTCTTCAGTATGGACGTGGACGTTGACGTCGAGGTGGAGGTGGAAGTGGATGTTGCCCTGCTGCCCTGCAACTGTGTCTGCAGCTGCTGCTGCTGCTCCCTGGGAACCCCGATTTCGATTTTAATCTTGGGCAGGTCCCGCAGCTGAGTTTGCAGTTGTTGAGTCGTTTGGCTTCTGTGCCGCACTGCCGCTGCCGCTGCTCCTGCTGACTGCTCCTGTTGCTGCTGTTGCTGCCGCTCCTGCGCCGCTTCCGTAACTGCAGCCTGAAGTCCGGGCGGTCCGGGTGAAGTCGGAGATGGTGCCGTTGCCGTTGCCGTTGCTGGTGTGGTGCTGGAAGGTGGTTGGTGGTGGGCAGCAGGCCGTGCTCAAGCATCTGCTACCTTATGCTCGCCGAGTTGAGCACGAAGGGCACATAGAACATTTTGCTCTCGAGCAGCAGGCTGGCGGCAGCCTGGATCTACAGGGAAGACAAGGAAGAATTAGTGAATCGATAGTGAGAGAGCGAGAGAGAGAGAGCTTGAGCTGGCAGTTGGACCTACCTCTGGTATGTGGGAGAGCAGCTCGCTCAGCCGCGCCTGTGGGTTCTGGGGCGACGAGTTCTGGAGGTAGGAGCGCAGCACCTGGATATACCGCTCCTGAATGCTCTCCAGTTCCACTTCTGCTGAGGAGGACAAGAGCAAATGGCATGAGAACACCCATTCGGGAATGGAAATGGGGGGAATGTGAATGCGAAACGTACCTTTGTTCAGCAGAATGTAGACCTTGAGGCAGACGTACTCCTCCATCTTGAGCTTGATGCGCCGGAACATGATTGTGATTTGGGTCATCTTGTCCACCATGTGGCCGACGTCCAGCTTCAGCTGCTCCATGGCAATGGGCTGGCCCATCAGCGTGGTCAGGCAGGTCTGCAGGGTGCTCAGATGGGAGTTTACCTCGCTCACAAATTCCGGATCGTCCTTGTGCAGGGGCTGGGCGGGCGAGGTCTGTGTGGGCGTCGGCGTCGAGGCGGGCGATCCATGACGACTGCCATGATTGTTGGCATTGCCGACTCCACCGCCGACTCCGGCTGACGCTACCGTGACCGCTGATCCCGCTCCGGATTGGTTGGAGCGCTTGCCATGCAGCGCCTGGTAGGCGGCCGTGGTGAGGATGAGGATCTCGTGCCACTTGTCGGTCAGCAGCTTGGTGTGTATCTCCACGGGTATCTCCAGGTAGAAGGGCAGCTTCTTCGTCCACGACACCAGCTTGTGCACGATGGAGTCGCCGATGTTGCACAGCTTCTCGCTGATCTCCGACTTGTCCTCGAGGAACTCGCTGAAGTGCGGCAGCGTGGCGATATCCTCCATGGCATCGCAGTCGATCAGCGTCTGGATCATGGCCAGCGCGTGCTCGTACGAGATTTGTCTGTCCTTGGACGAGCTCACCGCCGAGTCCAGTCGATGGCGCAGATGCACTATCTCGCTGGGATTGGTCAGGGCCGTCTTCAGTATGGTGCCGTTCATCAGGTGCGGCGGCAACGATGGCTGTGCCCCTCCGCCTCCACCGCCCCCAGTCGGATGCTGATGGTGGTTATGGTGCTGCTGACCCTGCCCCTGTCCCTGTCCCTGCTGCTGCTGCTGACCCTGTTGCAGGGGCGAGCTGAGGGACAGATGCGGCGACGACTGCTGCTGCTGCTGTTGCTGGGCCGGGCTGTGCATCGGCTGCGCTTGCAGCAACTCCGATTTCAACACGGGCCCCAGGAACATGGGCTTCATGTCCACGCCCCCGCCCATCAGCTTTGACTGTTGCTGCTGTTGCTGTTGCTGCTGCTGTTGCTGTTGTTGCTGTTGTTGTTGCTGCTGCTGTTGCTGGTGCTGATGCTGGGCCGCTGCTGCCACGGCGGCTGCCAACTGTTGCTGCTGCGGCGAGAGCAGGTGGTGGGGCGAAAGCTGCGCCTGCAGCTGCTGCTGATGCTGGTTGTGGTGGTGCTGCTGGTGATGCTGATGCTGCTGCTGGTGTTGGTGCTGGTGGTGATGGTGGATGGGCGAGTGCATCTGCTGCTGCTGCTGCTGGTGCTGCTGTTGTTGTTGCTGCTGCTGGGCGGCCTGCTGCTGCTGCTGCTTCTGATTCGTCTTCTTGTGCTTCTTGTATTTGACCTTGTACAGGTTGTAGACGGCGCCGCTGTTGCGTCCGCCTGGCATGCGATCCTCCCGAACGGCTGCCACAGAGAAGAACAGAGAGAACAGATGGAGATTAGCAAACGAAAGGTGGGCCGAGAAAACTCTTCTTTTCATTTCCCTCCAAAGTGTACTTTAGGGTGGGACTTGTCCAGGCAGATGTAAGTATTTATTGGGAATCACGATATCTGAATATGCGATATCGATTGCGAGATACAATGCGACTCCTTTATGTACAGCAAACATAGATTCCCTTACCAATATGTTGCCTTATGATTCATTGTTGAATGACTAACACTAAGCTAGATCAAGCATCAAGACATGAGTCCCGTCCCGAATCGATCGACAAGTGAATGTGTCCGTTCGCCTATGGAACATTTTTACACCGAATCAAATGCCAGGAAAGCTGCGAACAGTCCAAAGGACACAGATCGGAAATGATCAGGGTATGGGAAGAAGGAGTAGAAGATACTGAAGTAGAAGCTCTCGATGCGGTTTTCATACCCATACTCGAAGAGTCAAGGGCTACATTAGATCTCTGTTAAAAGTGGAGCAGCTCACATGTGTTTGCATATGCTGACTGAGTATGGGTATAGAAGTAGAGTCGCGACCACAGCAGCCACTCATAACGTTTAACTTGACTTGGGCCTTCAACGAGAAATCTTACTGATATCTTACTGATTGAAACTGTTGGAGACTTGGACATATGGACTCCTGTTGAGTCCTGTAGCACAGGGGAGTGGGAGTGGCAGTGGGTGTGGGATTGGGTGGGATTGGGGGCGATAATCCTTATCATAATACTCACCCTGCAGCACCATGCCCTGCTCAATGCATTTCTTAAATCGACAATACTGACAACGGTTGCGCTGTGCTTTGGTTATTTCGCAGGTGCCGTCCGCCACGCAGGTGTAGACGCGTCGGTTCTGCACCGTGCGCTTGAAGAAGCCCTTGCAGCTGTGAATGAATGGGGGAGGAGGGGGCTGGGATTAGTCTCTGGGAAGGATAGGGCTGATGCCGACACACTTACCCCTCGCAGGTGATGATGCCGTAGTGCAGGCCGGTGGCCTTGTCCTCGCAGATCATGCAAACCAGAGGCTGTTCGTCCTCGTCCGTGGGCTCGTGCGGCGCCTCGAGGCCCCCGCCTCTCCCGCCGGCTCCGCCCGCACCGCCACCGCCCACGCCGGACGAGTTGGAGCTGCCCCATTGCTGCTGGGCGCTGAGGTTGAGCGCCTGCAGCTGTCCGGGCGGCAGTTGCGAGTAATCGCCCGCCCACAGCCGCTCCATATTGAGGGCGTGTGGGGTGCGGAAGGGATGGGGTCGCGACCGCATGTCCTGGATGCGGCTCTGACCGAGGGAAAGAAGCAGCTGGGCTGCCTCTTCGTTGTTCTGTGGCCCCGCACTCGACGACCCCGACGGAGTGAGGGATCCGCTACCCGATCCACCGCCACCGGATGAGTGGGAGGGTGTGATGGAGCCAGCGGAAGGCGACGGCAGTGCCGCCTGGAGGCAGTGCACCTGACTGACCACGCCGCTCTGCTGCTGCTGTTGCTGCTGTTGCTGCTGTTGCTGCTGATGCTGCTGCTGTTGCTGCTGCTGTTGCTGGTGGGGCGACTGTTGCTGCTGCTGCTGCTGTTGCTGCGGATGGGGATGCGGATGGGAGTGGGGCGTGCCTGGGCCGGAGGAGGGCGGTGGCGGCTCGTAGCCCCAGACCATGGTGCGGACGCCACAGCTCTCGCCCATGATGACGGTGGGCGTGCCGCGCGGCGGCGTCTGCGAGGGCGTCTGCGGGGATAGCTGCGACGAGGAGGAGGACGACGAGGGGTGCGGCGACGGGCACTGCACGGAGCCCCCATTGCCACCCACTCCGCCCACGCCGCCACCAACGGGACGCAGATTGCCCAGGGGGCCGCCAATCACCTCCGGCTTGACGCCGTTGATCCGCGCGTTGCTGAAACAGACCATCCGTTGGGCGGCCACCGCAGCGGCCGCTGCTGCTCCGCCCGCGGACTGCATGAGGTGGGGCAGGCCAACCGACACCTGCTGGTGCACCTCGCTCTTCACCCGGAAGAGGATCGCCGCGTCCCGGTTGGGGTGGCGCAGGGCGAGCGACGCCGGATGCATCAGTGCCAGCGCCTGCGGTGGCGGCTCCCTTTGCTGCTGTTGCTGCTGTTGCTGCTGCTGGTGGTGGTGCTGCTGCTGTTGCTGCTGCTGCTGGTGGTGTTGCATGTGCGGCGACTGCTGCTGATGGTGCGGCGAGAGATGCCGCTGACCCTGTGTTCCCGCATTCGGTTCCTTCTTCACCCGCACCAGGGAGTGGGGCGAATGCTGCTGCTGCTGTTGCTGGTGGGGCGATTGCTGCTGCTGCTGCTGTTGCTGTTGCTGCTGGCCGAGTAGGTGATGCAGGTGGAGCTGTTGCTGCTGGGTGAGGTGCTGCATGGACTGGCTGAGCAGGTGCTGCGGACTCTGGCCCAGCTGCAGCTCCGTTGGCGGGCTGTTCTTCCGCAGGGTCAGCGGCTGTGTCAGTTGCTGGTGCAGGTGGTGCGTCTGGACGATGGTCGTGGACAGGCCGTGCCCCCCGCTGCCGCTCAGCGGTCCGTGGGAGAGCTGACCCACGCCCAGGGGCGGACTGGCCCGGCTCAAATGCTGCTGGGAGGAGCTGATTGACGATGAGGATTCCCGATCCCTATCCCGCTCCCGCTCTCGCTCTCTCTCCCGCTCCCGTTCTCTGTCTCGATCCCTGTCTCGTTCCCTCTCCCGCTCTCGCTGTGTGTTGGAGGTGGAGGAGGGCGAGCCAGGGGGTGGTGGCTCCGACTTGATGCGCGACGGGGTGACCAGCACCGTCACATGCCCGGCCGCTGCCGCTGCTGCCGCCTTGCTCTCCTGCTCCCGCTCACGCTCCCGCTGCTGGTGGAAGGCGAGCATCTTGGTGGAGACGGTGAGCAGGCGCTCCTCCTTGACGGATCGGATCACGCTCAGATTGACCTCGCCCGGGCTCTGCTTGCTGCTGGCCGAGGACGACGACGACGAGGAGGCGGCGGAGGAGGTGGTGGTGGAGGTGGAGGACGAGAGCAGACCGTTGGTGGGCCCGGGATGGGGCCGCTGGCCCGTTGTCGTTGAGGGCTTCTCCTCCAGGGAGTCGGGTGAGGCGCGACTGCTGCCGCCGCCATTGCTCGAACTGGATGCTCCGCCCCCGTTGTTATGCGGTGGCGTTGGGGTGGCCCGCGTCCCAGCCCCACCTCCTCCTCCGCCGCCGCCGGCAGCTCCTGATGCCGTGGTGCCAGCCACCTCCGACGAGGGCGGACTGCTGGATCGCACCTGATGCTCCGTGGGCGGCGGTGACATCGCCGAGGAGGCGGCCGCCGTCGTTACCGCGCCGCTCGAGGAGTGAATCTCTGAGTGCTCCTTTTTGATACTTGCTCCGGAGCCGGCCACCTGGCCGGCCTTGGATGTGATGGTGATGGTGCCGCTGCTGCTGCTGCTGCTGGGACAGGTGGTAGACAGCGAGGATGACGAAGATGTGGAGGAGGCGGAGGATGTCGACGACAGCGATGATGTGGAGGAGGAAGCCACCGCTGATATGGACGTGGACACGGATGCAGCTGCCGATGATGCCGCTGTTGCTCCGCCTCCACCACCGCCTCCGCCTCCAGATCCCATTACCGTTCCCGCTGACGCCACCGCCGCCAGGGACACGGACACCGCCACCGATGCGGCCGTGGCCGATGTGGTCAGTGGCAGGGGCAGGGGCAGTGCCATGGGCAGCGGCAGGCTCAGTGGCAGCGGCAGCGGCAGCGGCAGTGGCAGTGGCAGGGCTAGGGGCAGCGCGCCGGCTGAGCCGCTGTCGCAGAGCTTCGGTGACATCGGCGCCAGGAGGTCCGGCGACGAGGTCGATGTGTCCGCAATGGACTCTCCGTCACTGCTGCATCTCGAATCGATTTTCCGGCGTTTGAGTTTGAGGTCTTGAAAAAGGCTCATTTTATCGAGCTCGCTGTACGGGCCACGGCTCAGTGTCATAATTCCTGTTCGATTCGGTGGGCAGTTGAAGAAAAGAAACAGAAGACACGAAATTAGTGGCGGGACTCAAGCTGAGATCGGTCGGTTCTGCGGTGTACTGGCCAGCCCCTCAGGGGGATACCAGACAGCACAGGCTTACAGGCTAGAGGCTAGAGGCTTAGGGCTAGAAGATTCCTGTGGGAATCCTTTCAGAGTGGATCGATACGTATCATTAGCATAAACATTAGCATTAACATTAACGACTTTAAGTTTAAATTAATTAAAGATAAACAAGTCGAAAAAACAAACAAAATTCCCCCATCCCATCTATCTGGCTCTCTGCCGCTCTATTTCTGTCTAAGCAAGTCTAAAGACTCGACAGGGACCGTACTCATCATGAGCTAAAGTTTAAAAATCATAAAATAATAATTAAATTTTAGGTAAACTCCAAGAGTTCCTTTGAGCCCATACAAAGTTACCAATTGAATGGCCACTTGCCACCAAACATACAAACAGACGATACTCCCTACAATCCAACTATATTGCACATAGATACATACATTAATATGTACAAATATTAATTACTATATTGTGTGTCTAGTAACTCTAGATATTATCTTGTGATTAGTTTTAAAATCATTTGAAACTTTTTTAAATCTTCTTTTTAATCTTTTCTCTTAATCTTTTTTTTTGTTGTTTAAATTTTCCCCAATAATGACTTGATATATTATTATATTTATCAATTAAATATTAATGATGCCACACAAAAATTTACTTTATAAACTGCTAAAAGAAGTTCATGGAATAACTAAGCCATGGAAAGATCTCATATCAAACTGTGAAATTAAAACTCTCCTACAACTACTCTAGTTCTACGTTTAGCTCAATCAACATTGTAGCAATACTGATACGGATACTGGATAATTATGCATCTTAAAAGTCGAAAGTTGAAACTATTTAAATAATGCTTCCAAATTGGAGCTAACAAATTGCAATTAAAACATTAACAAGAACTCTGGCTGCAGTTCCATTCACATAAAGCAATTTAAGTCTTTGAACCCAAGAGCGTAAACCAGGAATTTATCTGAATCGAAAATCTGTTTGCAACCTCAGTGATTTCTATTATTGTGTTTATTATTGTTTCTATACTAAAACAGCTGCAGAAGTAATTATCTTCCTTGCTTAGTTTGTCCATGGCAACAACTATTACACTTTTTTTTTAAATCTCTAATGCTCGTATGCAGCTCTTTCAATTTCTTCCTTCGATTGACTGACGCTTCGAAAATATTTTTATAATGTCCTCAATTGTTGAAATGGTGTTTGGAATTTCTTATACAGAATTTAAGACATCTCGACCAGATTAAGCTGGAGACTTGCACAGTAAAAATATTGGCATTTTAAATGCCTCAGCTAACTTTTAAAGTTCTTTAAAAATATGTAGGTATATAAAAATATATGCACCATAAATTAATTATATTAAATTATATTTTTTGTTTAGCAATAAGCATACTGCAGTGGTGACAAGCTGCGCCCCTGTGTAAGCTGTTCCCTGAGTTATATCTGGTATGAATATTATTCAATCGAATTCGTCATTTTGTACGATGAAATTCCACTGATTTAGATTTGGATTTAAATTATATATATTTCCATACGCTTTTATTTGCAGACTGTAGAGCTAAGCAAGGACTGGCTGGAGTTCTAAGCCCAAAGGATGCGCTCTTCTAGCAAAAAATGTAAAACCAGGAACGGGCAAACAATTCAAGGCCATTTACGGATAGAAATTTATACGAGTCTAGCAAAAATCACACCTACTCGTAGAAGTTCCTAAAATTTTATGGTTTTTCCTTTTTTTCTGATTCTTGTAATTCGCCCTGACAAAAAGGCTGCCAAGCAGTGGAATTTAACCTCATCATCGTTGCTACCATATCCACATGGCTGGGAATCTTTAATGCAGAGATCATATGTACCATATGCATATGCATAAGTTTGCATTTCATTTGTATTTGTTGCGGAAGTTTCTGCGGTTTCTGTGTGTGCTGCCGATGGAATAGAAACAAATAACATAAATTTGCATTTACTTCCCTTCCACGGAGCAAAATAAAAGCGAAACAGATGATGATCAGGCAGCAGCAGGTGACGGATCAGACACAGCTTGAAGCTGACAAATGCCAGAACTGGTTGGGCCAACATTCCGATACGCCGCACAAATTTTATCTGAGAGATTCGCCTGATCGCATTTGATCAGCATTTGATCTGATCTGAGATCCAATTTACAGTTTACACCCAACCCATATCAGGGGTTCATGGCTCTACGTTTGCTTTCAGGGATTACAATTTGTGGCCAGGGGCAGACCCCAAATACGAGTCAGAGTCGGAGTCCGAGCTGCATTAGGAGCTGGAGTGGGAGCTGGCAGTGGGAGCTGGCAGTGGGTGGTGCAGGCACTTGTAGTGGCTGAGCTTTCGATTGTTCTGAAATTCTATCTCCCTGCAGCACACACTCTCTCTCCCATTCTCTGACTCTCCGACACTCTGCCCGCTTGTTTCGTTCGGTTTGGTTCGGTTCGGTTCGCTTCGGTCACTTGCTGCTGCGTTCGCCCAGCAACGACATTTCCATCTGTGTCTCTGGCAGCCGTTTGGGTGCGTGCCTGCCTGCCTGCCAGCCTGCGTGCCTGTGTGCGCATTGCGCGTGTATCTATCTAATGGCGATTTCTTCACGCACACTCAGAACTTCGGCTGGCTCCAAATGCTGCCCCTCCCGCCCCTACCACCCCGCCACCCAACACACAACACACGATCGGCTATCTATCGGCACTCGGCAAAAGTTCGCTCTCGTTCGCTCTCTCTCTCGTTCTCTGCCTGGCCGACGACGACGACGACAACGTCGACGATGTCGACGACTGGGGGAACGACGACTACAATGTCGTTTGTGTGTGTATTTTTAAAATTTGACCTATTTTCATTATCAAGCGCAAGATTATTCTAAACAATAAAACCATGCGTGCCTCTCTTCTGTGTATATCTTTGGTCGTCGGTGTTTCTCTGTGTGCCAGTGTGGGCGCGTGGAGCCAACGAATATCGTCTGTGTATTATTGTGTCTGTATATGGGGGGAGATATACAGATATACATATGTATATGTATATGTACATATATGGATATTGTCCCGTGCTATCTCTTTTTTTTTTGTGCACCTGTCCGCTCCAGCTGAAGATCAACAGAAACTGCAGTCCTGCATGGGGCAGACAGGTGTAGAATAAATACATATATTGATAAATATTCGGTTCTGGTCTCTGGCATCACTTGGGATCAACAGTTTCAATTACATTTGTAAAAAGAAAGTGAATTACTTTTAATCCATAATTCGAATGATTTTTTTTCGTTGCATTATGGGAAATTTCTTGGGCAAATTCTCTCCCCCGATTGTGCCCTAGCCAGAAGGGAGCCAGAGGGGATTATTCCTTGTTAATTCTAGCGATAAGTTTGGGTTAAAAATGTTGCAGGGGCGGGTGGTTTCGGCGGGCTTTCAATTGGAGTGTTGCATTAATATTTTTTTTATATATATATTACACATTAAGTATTCCAGACATATTTGTTGTTGCTTAGTTATTAGTTATGTACACATGTATATCAATCTGTACATATGTATGTATGTACATATGTATTTATGTAGATATATTTAGTTGTGGAAAAGCGGGCTTAGATCGGCTGCTGGAAGCAGCAAGAGAGCCCAGAGAGAGAGAGACTGAAACTGGGGGAGTTATATTGCATATTGGAAAGCTTCCATTCCATTTCAAGTTTTAATTAATTATTATTAATTATATTATTAATTATTTTCCCCCATTTTCCATTTCTCTGGAAACTCTCAGCAGTGGGGTGGGTCTGGGTCTGGGTCTGGGTCTAGGTCTAGGTCTGGGGTGTGGGCATGTCTAGGGTTAGTTTGGTTTTGGTTTTGGGGGGAGGGGATATATTGTAGTCACAAAATTACCTATGGATGTCATTGTAATTTGTTTTGTTCTTGTCTTTGCCAATTTCTCAAATTTGGATAAAAACAAAAAATTCTCTTCTTTGCCGATTGGGTTTGCTTTTAGCTTGTTGCTGTTTCTTTTCTTTTTTTGCATTTGTGTGTTGCTTTTGCTTGTTTTTGTATGTATGTGTTTGGGTGTCTGTGTGTTTTGGTATCTTTGTTTTTGTTTTTGTTTGGTATTATTGTGACTTCAGGTTGAGGAAGCATCTGCCAAGACTGCCAACTGCCAACTGCCACTGCTACCTTGGGGCAGGGCAGGGCAGGCTCCAAGCCAAATGCATTTCCAACACAGGATGGTGGATTAGTGGTGGTGCGGGGGTGTGTATTGTTGGGGTTGTAGTTGGATGACTTGCCAATTGTCGGATATTTTCGAATTTGTTCACATTTGTTTTCACTTTTGGATTTTGGAATTTTGGAGTTTAATTTTGGTTTAGGTTTTTGTTTTGTTGCTTTTTGCGTTTTTTTTTTTGCTTTTTGATTTGTTTGACTAGAATTTTTTGGGGTAGAGGGTAGAGGGAATTATGTGAGTGAGTGGCTGTGCTTGAGGGGCTGTGATTGTGGCTGTGGGGGGTGGGCGAGTGAGAGGGTGGTTGAGTGGTGGTTGGGGTTTCAAATAGAATCAGATCACCATACGCTTTATGATAGGGGGGGGGGGCGCAGTTTGGTTGGGGGTGGTGGGTTGATGATACGCAGAAAGAATATACGATATATGGAAAAACAATACTAACGGCAAATGGGCGGCATACGAGACTTTTTCTTATAATAATTATTGTAATTGTTGTAATGTATTATTATTATTATTGTTGTTGTTGTTGGTTGCTGTTGTTGCTGCTGTTATTATTGTTATTGTTGCTGCTGTTGTTGTTGTTGTTGTTGCTGCTTATTGTATTATTATTGTTGTTGCTGTTGCTATTGTTATTGTGGGAATTGCACTTGTTGCACTTGCTCGGATGGCACGCATTCAGTCCCAAAATTGTTGATGTTGTTGCTGCGGTCACAGCGGT